TTTTTCAGCTGAAACCTGTACGAGAAGATAGTAAAGGATTCCCCTCTCAAATAAAGCAGATATTGGTAATCCATTCTTCCTGTCACATGAAGTCCTTTAGACATGCAGGACAACTAGATATAAAATAATAAATAAATTGTAAAAAGGGTCATTCCAGTTTGAATACCTTCACACAAACTTAGCTAATTAATGCTAACTCTCACAGGCATGTCATTTATTTTAAATTACACTCTAACACAGATGCATCTAAACAATACAAGACGAGATACCAGTTAAAATTTACAGACTTAATTCAGGTAAATGAAACCAAAAACAAACAACGAGAAACTCATCACTTGTCTATTTAAGAAATTTAAATGAGTAAAAAGAAAGTACTAGTTTCAGGAACAAACCTTACTGCTAACCGCTGTATGCTTTGAAATTGGTGGTCGAACTCCAAGTTGTGTTACTGATTGATCTAGAACACGAAAACACCCAGCACGTCTAATGTCCCAAAAGCGTATTGCACCATCACATCCCCCAGTGTACAAAACCCACTCACTGGAAGTAGACCATTCTACTGACATAACACCATCTGGCGTATTATGACAACAACACAATTTAGTAGCCTGTATTAATACTTTTTTTAACTAATAATATTTAGATATGCAGAAACGCATGAGTCTAGTATCGTATTGTTTCAGTAGTCACCACTCCATATAGAAACTGATTTACTTTCCTTTAAGAGGAAAAGAAAAGAAACATACCACGGTGACCAGATAACGTGTGAGCGAATGCCCCAGAAGCTATATCACAGAGGCGAACCTGCACATCTTCAGTTCCAGCAGCGATTAACGTGTGAGACATTGCCAAAGAAGACATGGCAGTTCTATAAACCTTTCCAGGCATTTTAAAATCCACAACCGCCTAAAACATATTGAAAGTCACAATCAGAAAGGCTAGAAACAATATATTTTTAAAAAAGCGTCTGAAAAACATGAAAAATGGAAGTGCTATACTTTTCACAACTGAAAATTTGGTACCTGTGCAGTATTGGTATCCCAGACTTTAATGTAATGATCATATGAACCTGTAACGAATAGCCCTGTGTCAATGGGATACCATATGGCAGAGGATATCGCATATTTATGTCCATTTTCATGTTGCTTGTCGACAGTAAATATACACCTGTGCTTCGCTATAAGACCACTTGCCTCGTAATCAGTGGCTCGCTGAATATCAAACACAGCAGCCGAGCCATCTGATGCTCCTGATAGCAAATATCTCCCCTCTGTCAAATCAACCTGATAACATGGTTACGAACTTAATACAAAGCAAAAGAATCTCCATAACGAGTTCGACATATAGCAGCTACCACACAAATATAAGCCTATTCTTATACATAAGCTTCGTGATAATCCTAGAACAACCCAAAGTAGGAAACATTTCGTGAACTCAATCAAATTTCTCACTAAGTCTTTGACGATTCCCCAAAAACAAAAATCGAAAACAAAGGAGTCAAGTATCTGTGAGTGGAGACTAGTAAAGGGTACCTGAAGGGAGTTAACGGAGCCACGATGAGGAGAAACAAAATCTTTTCGATTAGAGAGCTGGAGAGACAGAATCCGGCGGGATTTGAATTGATTGACGAAGGAATTAGAACGAATTCGACCAGTTTCTCTGCCTTGGATAGCCTCCCACATTCTCCTAGCATCTCGACTTCTGATTCTCCTGAAATCTATCAGACTCTGTGTCCGAGTTCGAATCTACGCTCATGCTCCGGCGCCAAAGCCCTAAGGAAATTTCGGACGAATTTGATCTTCTTCTTCAAAGTTTCTCTCGCGAAGAAAAGGTGACTAAAACCCCAAGCAAATCGAAAGAACGAAGCGAAATCTGAATCCAAAACACCTCGAAGAGAATTCTACGCTCTCCTCAATAACCTTATTAATCAAGCCGCTGACGAAAAAAAAAAAAAAAAAAAAATCAAGCCGCTATTAGCGTCTGGTGTTTGCGTTTTTACCAGAGGGCGATTCTGCGTTTGGAGCGTCGCAGTAGAAAATTAAAATCGTAAAAAAGAATTGAGTTACTAAGATTTGTAGGTGAGATTTGAGCTTTACTAAGACAGCTTCTCATCGTGCATCTAAGTTGAGATTTGTGTTTCTGCCCTCGATACACTCACTTTTTTTTGTCAACTACCGTATAATTAAATAAAGTTTTGGTCGTTAAAGTGGTGGTTTTGTAGAAATAATCCTTACCAACTTTGTCTGACTTACACGAAAAATATCAAATCTCATGTTCGAGCCTTCTTTGCAAGAGAGTCTACAAGAACATTTAAAAAAGGAGAAACATAAACTATGCTAAAATTCACAAAAACATTTCTCAAGAAAAAAAAAAAAATTAGTTCTGAATTAAACGTCGGCCAATCCACTGAATTCGCAATCATTTTCACCAAGTTTGAACAATCTGTCTCGATTCGTAGACGTTGCACGTAATACACGTTGTGACTGAGTGCTCGCTATTTGTTCTGTATTAGAATTTCAGTATTAGCAATTATGAATTTATAATTTGAAATTTAACCGGCAATGATAATTAATGCATTTGTTGTGTCTTACGTTATCATACTTTAATTTTATCTAACTAGTCATTATCGATGTAAATTTTTTAACAACTCTCGTAGAGAAGAAGGCGGAATCGGGCCCAAAACAGCATTGTTATGTGCTAAGCCAAGTTTCGACACGTCATTAGTGATTACCAAAAAGACAAATGTAATATTCATTCGTGTAATCGTGTTTGAGGTGAAAAAAAAGAATCGAAATAAAGTTGACATCTGAACAAAGAAGGTAGCCACATGATTAAAACATACATTTGTCAACTAACACCATTCGGTTTGCCAGAGACAATCATTTGGCACCTTATTCTTAATTATTATTAATATTTAAATTTAATGAAAGATGCATTATGCATTTAATATGTTTACCACCTAAGCTTAATCATCAAGTGGATTGTCCTTCCTACGGTCATAGATATTGACATCGGGTCGACTTTTAGATCCGACCCGGTTCTCCATTATAGTCGGTATGCTACATATGATATGTCAACTCAGAGAGACATTAAAAGCACTTTTTAACTTATTACACCTTTTGTTTTTATCGTCATCAACTCTGTTATAAGTCTGATAGTTAGGGCCAGGGTACTTCTTGACCAAGAAAAAGGACCAAAAAATCATTACAAAAAAAAAAAAAACAAACCGAAGTGAACTTGAACTAGGTGAGTTGGTCCGGTTTCAATTCAATATGATTAGTGAAGGTCGATTAGGGATTCGGATTTCAGTTTTTAAATAAAATTGACTTTATATCCAATCAGCAATATTTATTTGATTGTTTTAAATTTCAACTTTATTTATCTCTTTGTGAAGTCGTTCTTCATTTTATAACTATAAACTCTCAACTTTTTGTGTGTAAATGTTAAGTAGACTCTCAACTTTTTTTTTGTCAAGTGTAGAGATTTTAAGATTGTTTCTTTCCATGAATCTATAAATTGTACGTTTTGCTAGTTTTCGTTGAACTGACTTGTATCCTCTTTCGCATTTTTCGTAGTGTATAATATAAACTCTCATCATTAACATTTTTTCCGCATATTTACATGTGACATTTTCATTCAAGTTAGGATAATATGCACAGTTAAGTTATTCACCTCTTTCGCATTTTTCATAGTGTATAAACTCTCATCATTAACATTTTTCGCATATTCAAATGTGATATATTCATTCAAGTTAGTATAATATGCATAGTCAAGTTATTCACTTATTTGTTGACAAAGTTTTTGTGTGCAATGACAATTACATGCTCCTAGAATGAATAGACCACAATCCTCAGAGGTTAATTAGTATATGGTTTCAATATTTAATAACCAGGCAAAACCAAAAACGGAAGAAAGCTCAATCAAACAAAATCGAATTGCATACAATTTTATATGGTTTAAGTTTATACCAATCTGATAAATAAGAAAACAAACGTAATCCAAAAAAAAACAGGCATGCCTAACCATAATTACGCTCATTCTTCATTAATATTTTGTTCCTCCGCATTATTATGTAATTTTAAAGATCAAATTAAAAAATTACATGTGATAATTATTTATATATGTAGTTTTTAAAAATACTTTTCGATTTATTTTATAGTTCACGGGTTTCATTTATGTCTGAATATCAGTTTGTTGATTTAAAGCTTACAAAAGTTGTCGATCAACCTAACCGTGTAGTTTTTAATTACATAATTAGTTATAAATGCCGCCATTATTAGACCAATAGCAAAAGAGATAAGATCCATAATTGCGTATTAGTGAAACTTGACCTTATTAATTGAAGTCAGTTCGTTTATAATTTACGTGGAACATAAATAAATAAAATCTGGAGCAAAATTTAAGTCATCTGAAAAAAGTTCCATGAGAAAGATACTCCGTTCTTGCAATGTTTATAGAAGAGCCCAAAACTTAAGAAATTGAGAAACAACCCCACTTGTTTGTTATGAAACAAAACCAAACATTTAAGACAAAGTGCTCCGAATCGGGAGCATAGATACGTAATGACTTCATCACACACCAACTGCATATGATTATTGTATGAACGGGTATCTACTTATATTGCTATATTATAATACATTTAAATATTGATGAAAATTACATAATGCATAGTCATGATTTTATTAACTATCTATGTTCTATAATTAATTAATTATTAAGGTTTTAAAATGATCTGCATCTATATCATGGTTGAATAAGCTTAAAAATAATCTAATTTTAATCTTAATCATTATAAAAAAGCATAAAAATAAATATGATAATTTGGATCCTCACTAAAAACAAGTGGGTTTCTTTTTAGACATTTTGCAGGTCATGTACGATTTAGGAAGTTTACCAAGTTTGGGGATTTTACAGTAATTGTCGTAGAAAATAGGAAAAAAGAGTTATCAGAATGAGCTCTTTCGTCTGCATCCAAGTCTCTGCCTTTAATCAGAGCTTCGGTCACGGTTTCCAGAAATAATTACGATCACATAAACACAAAAGCCCCAAAAGCTCGAGAAAAGAGAAGTCTGAAGAATTAAGAGAGAGAGAGAGAGAAGGAGAGAGAAGAGAGAAAGCCAGCTTTGTTGCGGTGCAAAGAAGCAAATCTGACAGTTTGCAGAAACAAGAGAGGGCAAGGAATCGAAGATTTGGTGGTTGTTCTTTCAGAGGAAGCAAAGTAAATGCTAATAGCAATTTAACATTTTCTTCACTCCCTTTCACTGAGGAGAGAGAGAGAGAGAGAGAGAAAGGAAAGGGAAAGTGCGCGAGAAAATTCCGTCTGGAATCGATCTCACTCGGGTCTCTGCTCTTTTGATCTGTATAGAATTAGCTTCTTCCTCGTTCTCTAGTTTCGGACCTGGGTTTGATCCTTAAAGCCGAGATCTTTCTTTTCCTGAAGAGCCTTCTGGTTAATTTTTGGGTAAGTTTCAAGCTTCTGCAAAATGGTAGAATTTGGCGAGCTCCCATTGCAGTTTAAGCAACTTCTTAAAGGATTGGAGCTAGGGTTTCTATTCTAGAACAATCTTGCTCTGTTATGGGTTTGTAGCTAAAATTGTGAAAAATCTAGGGTCTTTAGGTCATGCTACTGAGCTGTGTGTTAAGATTTGACTTACTCTGTCTTCAGAAGCTGATCTCATCTATCTATTATAATCAATGACTTTTGTTTTTTTTCAGGTGGTTCAGTTTTAAGAGTTTTGAGGGATATATGTTTGGATTCATATGTGATCACAAAAGACGCGCCTATTGGCCAGAAGTGAATTGTGGTCTACCGGGCTAGCGTTTTATTTTGTGAAGTGGTGCAGTGTTGAGTAGTTAGGACAGTAGAGGGATGCCTCCTTCCCCGGCATTGAGATGCTCTCCTGGCAGGGAAATTTCAGGGAAGAAACACAGACGAGGACACAGCATTGAATATGGGATACTATTCAGAGATAAAGACGACGATCTTGCGTTGTTTAGTGAGATGCAAGACAAAGAAAGAGATGGTTTCTTGCTTCAGTCATCTGATGATCTTGAAGATGCATTTTGTAAGTTTTCTTAAATTGGCTGCTAATCCAGATATTGTTTTCTCTGATGTATGACCATGATCCTTAATTCGTCCCTTTCTAATTTTGGACATTTATCTTCAGCTACAAAACTGAAGCACTTTTCGGAGTTTACCATTCCTGTTCAAGGAGAGAGTAGCAGATTGCTGAGTGCAGAAGGAGATAAGAACGACTATGATTGGTAGTTTTCATAATTAACTTGGATCTTTCCTTATTTTCTTTCTGGTTCATTGCTACAACAAATTCATATAAATAGGGTATCTTCCGTACTTTTAGTAATACTCCAAGACGTGCGCTTCTCCAGCTTCTGATTCCATAAACTTCTTGCTGGCATTACCGTAGTTTTTTTTTTGTCTCTGTAGTATGTTTTGTTCTTTTGGATGCCTATATCTTACAAAGCTTACTCCATAATCAATGAAAGGTTGCTGACGCCTCCTGACACGCCACTCTTTCCTTCATTGGATGACGAACCGCCAGCAGCTAGTGTTGTGAGAAGAGGGAGACCACAGAGTCAGATTTCGTTATCTAGATCTTCCACGGTATTCATTAATACCAAATTAACAGTTATTCTTTGTAAAACACTGATGATCTCGAATCAGATCTTGCTGCATATCCTAATTCATTATGCTGAAATATGCATATATATTATGTGTGTGTAGATGGAGAAGAGACGCCGTAGTAGTAAGGGCAGTGCAAGCCCAAATCGCTTAAGCACATCACCTCGAGCTGACAATATGCAGCAGATAAGGGGAAGGCCATCTTCAGCACGCCATCCTAGTCCTGCATCTGGTCAACGATCAGTTACCCCAGTTAGGAGGATTTCTCCTGCTCCAGGGAAACCCTCAGGACCTACATCAAGATCTACGACCCCAACTTCACGAAGGATGAGCACTGGGTCAACTTCCATGGCATCGTCAGCTGCCAGGGGCACTTCTCCTGTCAGTTCTAGTCGAGGCAACTCTGCTTCGCCCAAAATTAAAGTGTGGCAGTCAAACATTCCTGGTTTCTCCTTGGATGCACCACCAAATCTCCGAACTTCTTTGGGTGATCGACCGGCATCCTATGTAAGAGGTTCCTCACCAGCATCTAGAAATGGCAGGGATGCAGCTTCAACACGCAGCAGACAATCTGTCTCTCCTAGTGCTTCCAGAAGTGTCAGTTCATCTCACAGTCATGAGCGTGACCGGTTTAGTTCTCATAGTAAAGGCTCTGTAGCATCATCTGGAGATGATGATCTTCATTCTATTCAGTCTATTCCCGTTGGAGGCTCAGAACGTGCAATTTCTAAGAGAGCTAGCCTGTCTCCTAATAGTAGAACTTCGAGATCTTCAAAATTACAGTCACCTGGTTCAGCACCGAGAAAGCCGTTTGAGTCTGCTCTTCGTCAAATGGTACGTATTAAGCAGCATACTGCTTTTTTTCCGTCCACAATTCTATCAATTTTCATTATCTTTTAACAGTTCATGTCATACACTGCCTGCATCAACATATTTGCACTCGTGGGTTTGGTTTAAAGATATCACCAGCAATATATGAGAACGCATCATAGAACATTGTTGTCAGTCAGTCTGTCATATCTACCACAAAATAGCTTGTCCTTAAGTGCCATTTGTTTTCTGTTACATTCCTTAGATTCCAAAGTCTCTCCTGCGTATATTACAGATAGCATGCATTAACTTCAATAGAAATGCTGGTACTTTCCCCTCTTTGAATCTGCAGAGATATGTGAAACTTTGTTTATGATCGACATTTTTCATGCAGGATCATCCGAAAAGCCATCATAGTATGTTTAGACCTCTTGCTTCTAGCCTTCCTAGCACAGGCATCTATTCTGGGAAAGGTAGTTCGTCTTACCATCACATTATGTTAAGACATTCTTCTGCAACAGTGGGGAGCAATGCAGGTTCTAGCCAAGTTACAGGCTTCATGCCAGATACTAAAGGGAGCGATCCAATCCCTATTTTCCAATCTGAAGTTGAAAAATTAGCTTATCCTGATAGACATGGAGAAATTGCTGCCTTTGGCATGGTGGATTTATCGAATGAAGGTAGTAGACATGAGAGTCATGAGAGTTCTTATAGTGATCAGCCTGGTGATATGGATCAAAGTTATGCCGTTGAATGCGAGTCCAGCGTGAATGAGGAGCTCAACCACCATGTTTCGGATGTTGAAATCAGTTCGACTCAGGGTAGTCTTCCTGTAGGCAATGACTATTTAGAAGGGGTCGCTCTTGAAACTATGGAGGTTTGTGGGAGATGTGGTTCCCACTATCGTGCCACTGAAGCTATTAGAAGCGAGATAGATATTTGTCCAGATTGCAGGGAGGAACACAATTTTGTGGAAATAGGTTCCCCTGGAACAACAAGAGCTCTTGATGAAAATTCCCCGAAGCAGTCACAGGAAATTTTTGATGAAAAAGAGTCATTTGTTGACAAAATTCCAGCAATAAAGGTGCTAGACTCGCTGCCTGTTGTTATGGTTGAGGCAGAAACTGTGGAGACACAAGAAAACATTGAGCAGTGTGATAATTCCGACGAGCAAGAACAAAATCATTTGAATGAGAGCTCTTTTCCCAGGGCTTTCGTAGAGCAAGATGTGGAGATACTCAATCAGGAGGATGAAATTCAGTCTTCCACTCAGCTTTCTGATAAGAATAATGATTTGAAGATTGGTTCTTCAGAAGGTAGGGGCGTTCCTTTGCTTATAAAGAGATCGGTCAGTATGAAGTCACCCATTATTCAAGCTAATAACTCCAGTGGTTTTACCAGATCATATGAGGGCTTTTCTTATTTACGGGATAAAAGTCTAAGTCTAAGTCTTAGAAGCTCCACAGAAACTACTTCTGCATCTTCATCTTGGGATTATGGTTCCTCTATAAGAAGGGGAAGCCATGTACGACATCAAAGCGGGAGTACACTTGACATGGAGACTCATAGGTATGATACCAACTCCAAGTCCCTGAGCAGCATGTCATCTTCATCTGGTGTGTCAAGCCACACCTGCCAGGCTCTGAATGTCATGCCAGCTGACAGTTTTGAAGTTTGTACTACCCAAATGACATGTACCCAAGATGAAACTCATCAAGAATCTCATCCTGAACTCCAAGATTCGGAATGTAAGGAAACCAATGTGATGAATGCTGATTTCGGTGAAAGCGATGGATCAATTGGGGTTCCCACCAATGTAGCTGGTGCCCTGGCAGAGCATTATCCGGTGATAACTGACAATGAATTCTGTGAAAATGGAGATGATGTAGCCAACACTGTGATGAGCAAAGTAGAGATAAGCGAATCATCAGCACATGTAAGGAGCACATCAGAATTAGAAGCATCACCTGTCACTGATGACTACTCGCCTAATGATCAGTCTACGCTACAAGAAAAGGATGGAAACGAAACTCCTCGCCATGGTTCATCCACCACGACAGCCTCAGAAATAGAACCCGAGAGTTGTGAACCAGCAACACCTGGTTTAGGGGTTCATGATGATATTCCTGAGGCAGAGTGCAACCTAAATGCAGTGGATGACTGCTCAGAGAAGAGTATGGCACATGCTCCTGTAGATCACCACAACTCCTTGGCTCCTGTAAACGAAATTTTAGGTATTTACTCGTTTTATCATCACTGTGCTGCGTTTACTATTGTTTGTTATTTGTGAAGTTAAGACATGGTTTTGTTGCGCTCTGCAGATGAGTCAACAGTTCTTGTGGAGTGTCCAGGTCAAAAAGAACCGAAGAGCCTCACACTTGAAGAAGCCACTGATACAATACTCTTCTGCAGCTCCATTGTTCATGATATAGTTTACCAGGCTGCAACAATAGCAATGGATAAAGCAAAGGATGTGCCAGGGGAAGAAGAAATGTCGCATCCAACGGTGACGGTACTTGGAAAGTCGAATGCGAACAGAAGTAGTTATACACGCGGTGGTGGAACAAAGGCGAAGAAACAGAGTTCCAAATCCGCAAAAGCAAGTCGGAAGCAAACGGAAACAGAGGAGAAAACAGAAGAAAGAATAGAGAATGATGAAAATGCAGGTGAAGCGGCGATGATACGTAACGTTGGAGTTCCTCCTAGCAAAGGAGATCATTTGAAACCTCCTCCTAAGCTTGAGTCCAAATGCAATTGCTCAATAATGTGATTTTTTTTTTTTATTTACTAGTATATTTTAATGTTGTTTGTTCATAAAGTTTGTGGTTGGTTGGTTATTTTGTTGTTGTTGTTTGTTTGGGTTTTCTTTGTTTTTTAAGATTTATTTAGAGTATTTACGTTTGTTGCAGCTAATTTGTAAGAAGAGAGCATGATTTCGGTTGCCGGTTAGTGGCTTGAATTGTAAAGTTTTTATTTTTTTTGTTTTGTTTTTTGATTATTATCCTGATGTGTACCAATAAACCCTTTTTTCCTTTTTTTCCCCTTCCAATAAACTTTTTCTATTCAGATTCTATCTATCTTTAATTTGAACATCAAATTATTCTTGGCATTCGCTGACCGTCTGAATGATTACAAAATATTTTATATAAATATCTTACATAAATAAAATATTTATTTATAAGATATTACAAAATATTTTACATGAATTTTAATTTATAAGATATTATAACTAAGTTTTATACATCAATTGACTGGTCATAGAAAATTTCATGGACCAAAATTGCATGTTTTAAATAATAGTAAATTGTATCAAAATTATTTTTTTAAAAAAATTTTAATTTATAAGAGAATGCATATATAAACAAAAAATTTACGAGAGAATGTAATCATCATGAATATGAAAAAAAAAATTCTAATTTACGAAAGAATACATATATATTTTAGATGATTTAATAGTCTTTTCTTTTCTACTAAAAATAATCTTATATACGATTTATTTATTTTTTAAATTCCGTCTAAAAAATAAAAAAAAATAACTCTATATACGAATCAATTCATTTTTTAAAATTCAACCAAAAAAATATGCATTATATTATCATAAATTTAATAACAATAACTGTTTTTATAAAATAACTATTTTTACAAAATTATTTAATTTAATTGAAAGTAAAAAAAATTCTCCAATTCTATATAGCACGGATTAATCTCTTGTTGATGGCATTTTATCAATCAAACCCAAAAGTTACAAAAAAAAAAAAAGATAAAGAAGATGTAGACATAATACCTCACAATCACAAATGAGGCAAATAAAAACTTAGTATGATCCCGTAAAATGGAATTACATTATAATATGATGTTTGTACCAACAACTAAATTCGGAAAAATCCATTACATTTCAATTGTTCGATATAAACCAACTAATAAGTATTTGCATTTCGGTTCATGATAAAAAAAAATTCTAGTGAGATATAAATAAATAAATGGCGGGAAAACGAGGAAGAGCGGCATGAAATGATGAAAAAAAAACCAAATCCTCAGTTTTCTCACAATAATTCCGCCGCAAAAGTAATTTCCAATGGATTCCGATTCAGACTCCGATGGTTCTCACGTCTCCGCCACCCCACCCCGAGACCCATTTCCGCCACCGCCTCCTAAGCTTCCGCAGCCACCTCGGCCAAGGCAAGCGCCGCCGGTCTCACGGAAAGTTGCGTCCTCTTCCTCTCGCTCGAAGCCCAAAGCACCTACACAGCCGCCTCCGGATCACTCACAGGAAGCTCCAAGCCCATCTTCCTCGTCTCCTCCATCTCCATTATTCACCAATCTCCCCTTCCGGATCTGCGAGCCCTCGAATCAGTCCCAACCCGCTGGGTTTTCCTCTTCTGTTTCGTCCTTCAATAGACTCCGCAAAGCTTCTCTTACATCTGAAGATAATTTGAAATCTGAATTCCAATCGGACGCCGTGAATCATTTGCCGGAGCCCTCTCAGTCAGTAATCGCTCCTCCAAAACCCGTTAGGAGAAAGCCTCCTAATCTCATTACGGATTCTATAACTTCTCCGCCGGTGAAAGCTCCGGTGTTTCGTAGTGGCGGTGAGGGTAATTTCGTGAAATTGAACTTAAACGGCAAGAGAGGGAAGAAGTTTCCCAGCAAATACAAGGGGGTCTCCAAATCCAGAAGCAAGTTCGCGTACAGAGGGAAGCGATACAAAAAGTCAGAAGCCGCTGGTGATGGCGAGTCCTTGTTGGAGGAAGAGTCTGATTTGCAGAAGCAGAGAGAGGAAGAAGCTAACGGTTTTATCAGCTCGGTAGAGGATGCGATTCTTGCAGTGAAGAGTGAGGCTTCTGATGAGAATCTGACGAAGCTGTTGAATTTAGTGTATGGTTATGAATCGTTTCGAGATGGGCAGTTGCAGGCGATCAAGATGGTTCTTGCTGGGAGTTCAACGATGCTGGTTTTGCCCACCGGTGCTGGTAAGTCTCTCTGCTACCAGATTCCGGCAATGATTCTTCCGGGAATCACGCTTGTAGTGAGTCCTTTGGTTTCTCTGATGATCGATCAGTTGAAGCATTTGCCTTCAATTATAAAAGGTGGTCTCTTGAGCAGTACCCAGGTGTGTGTGGCTCAAAAATGTTCTTTACTTTGGGGGCTTCTCATAGTTTCTAATGGAGTCTGCTTTGGGATTTTGTTTTTCATTAGAGACCTGAGGAAGCAACAGAAACACTACGGAAACTTAAAGAAGGCATAATAAAGGTGTGTGTTAAAGGGATGTTTTGGACGGCTTACTTTTTATAAGACTGTTTGATACTGTTTAAGTAAATCAGCCATGGGATAACCTTATGGAAGTATTCGATTTGGAAATGCATTCATCGGTGGCGTGGGTTTGTTGTTTAATTTCAGGTTCTCTTTGTATCTCCCGAGAGACTTTTGAATGTAGAATTTTTGTCAATGTTTCGCATGTCTTTATCCGTGTCACTTGTGGTTGTGGATGAGGCACACTGCGTATCAGAATGGTGAGCTTCTTGGCATCTGGTAGATTCTTTTCTCCGTTGACTGTAGTATCTACTGCTTTTCCTTGTTTCTAAGATCTATTCTAAACAGGTCTCATAACTTCCGCCCTTCATACATGAGACTCAAGGCATCAATGCTGTATTCTGCACTCAAGGCAGAATGCATTCTCGCAATGACTGCAACCGCCACTACTATGACTCTTCAGGCTGTCATGACTGCACTAGAGATACCGTCAACCAATCTTATTCAGAAGTCACAACTGAGAGACAATTTTGAGTTGTCTGTCTCATTGAGTGGAGCTAACAGGCAAGTGTTTATATTTTCATCTTTCTGCTATTCCTCGAGTTGTGACTGAAAGTAATTTGAAATCTAACAGAATGAAAGATCTACTGAATTTGATCGAGTCTCATCCATATAAGGAGATTCGAAGCATCATTGTGTACTGCAAATTTCAGGTGAGAGTACTTGTTCATTTATCTACGGCTTCTTCCGCACTTTCATAAATACTTCTAAACTGTATCATGCATGATGCTAACTTAAGCAACTTTGGGCTCTGTTTCTGCAGTATGAGACTGACATGATAAGCAAGTATTTACGCGATAACAACATCACTGCAAAGGTTGTTTCCATTTTCAAATCTCCAATATACCTGTATCTATGGCTAATTACATTCTCTAATTAATCTTAGCTCAACCGATTATCCAGGGTTACCACAGTGGTCTTCCAGCTAAAGATCGAGTTCGCATACAGGAGTCATTTTGTTCTAACAAGATCAGAGTGGTGAGAAAATAAGTTTTACGGACTTCCATACGCTCTGTGTCCAATATAAAACTGCAAATGTTCAAATATTTTCGTATGTTTTGGAAGGTTGTTGCAACTGTAGCATTCGGCATGGGACTTGACAAGGGAGATGTTGGAGCTGTAAGTCTAAGGCAAACCCTTAGAATGCTTGAAAAATATCTTCAACTATTCGCATCTTGTGTTACCACCATATACATGCTTCTAAATTTTCTGAGCCTGCTTTAGGTAGTCCACTTCAGCGTGCCAGGCAGTTTGGAAGAATACGTTCAGGTTCAAACTTTTTTGTTTCCAGGATCCTTTTGAAGCTTAGTGATCAGGATGCGTATAACAGGCTTGAGAAACTAGATGTATTTGTTACAGGAAATTGGACGTGCTGGTCGCGACGGGCGGTTGTCTTATTGCCATCTCTTTTATGATGAGGACACATATCTAAAGCTTCGGAGTCTTTCACACAGGTGATTGGTGTGGCTACCATCATCTGTCTTGGCATTCCCTTGAGAGGCTTTTCAATTACTTACCTTTTTTTTTTTTTCCCTTCTTGTTCAGTGATGGTGTCGATGAATATGCAGTTGGAAAATTTCTCACTCATGTGTTCTCCTCTGAGACAAAACAACATGAGAAGATATGCTCGCTAGTCATTGAATCTGCCTCTCATAAGTTTGACATGAAGGAAGAGGTATTTTTCTGAAACTTAATGACATTTTTTGAAATTCACTGTTCTCTAGCTTTATATTATCAAGCGTCTGCACATGTGAGATAGTGAGCAGGAAAAATCGTTTTCATAAAAAAAAACTCTGAATTCTCACTTCGGATCTGGCAGGTTATGCAAACAATTTTGACACATTTGGAGTTGGGGGAAGTTCAATACCTACGTATGCTTCCACAGCTTAACGTATGTTGCACTTTGAATTTCCACAAGGTAGGGAAGCAGTTAGCTGAATGCATTCCTTTTTAGTGATCAATTCCAACATTTTTTGTTTTTGTTGTATGCTCGATGCTTCGATGCTCAGAACATTGTTATGTTATGTGCAGTCTTCTCCAAACACTCTGGCTGCAAGAAATATCATAGTGGCAGCAATTCTGAAGAAGTAAGCGTCTATCCACTGTCTTCAGCTTTTCAGGTCAGGCGACTCTGAAGAAGTATTATAGTTGCAGCAATGCTTGAGACTGTCTCTGTTGTTTTCAGGTCCCACGTGAAGCAAGGGTTACATGTCTTCGATATACCTGCTGTGGCCTCTAGCATAGGTATTGCAACAACAGATGTCTTGGCTGAGATTCAAACTCTGAAGGTTGATAACACTTTTCTCTCCCATATAAATCTGTGTTTTAGTACAAGCTATATCAAGTTTCACTTCATCTTCATAAAAACGTTTAACTAAACAAGGGAAACATTGTAGATGAAGGGGGAAGTAACATACGAGATGAAGGACCCTGCCTTTTGTTACACAATCTTAGAATCTCCAAGGGAAATATGTTCACTGTCCAGCCATCTTACCAAGTGGCTTGCAGAGATTGAAACTTGCAAAGTAAGATCTTTACCTGCAGCTACTAACAGCACCTCACCCCTCTATGGTCTATCTAAATTTAAGTTCCACTGCTTGTGCTTACATGTAGCCACAATTTTGCATTTGAAATAGGTGAGGAAACTAGATATTATGTCTAGTGCAGCCGTGGCGGCTATAAATGTCTCCAACACTTCAGAACTAAGTTCTGGTGCCAAGCAAACTCAGTGCCTGCAAAGCAGAATTTTGGACTACTTCAATGGGGACGAAAAGTGTGACATTCCGAGCAAGATGACTCAAAATTGGTACTAACAGAATGTTTCACTTCTTTTCATAGATTCCAGATTTCAATAAGAAATTGGGGCTGTCACTTTTCTTTCACCATTTTTCTTTGTTTGTCAAAGTTACCTTTCCATTAAAATTGACCAACGCTTATATTGTGGATGCAGCTCCTTTCTACGAGCAGATATAAAGGTGAAAATCGCACTATTTACCTTTTTATTCTATTTACCCATGTATCCAAAGACTGTTTAGTTAATGTTAGGGGTGAAAAAACAGGTGTTTTTGCAGAGTAATCGCCAGGCCAAATTCACGCCAAGAGCCATAGCGAGAATAATGCACGGAGTTGGAAGTCCAGCTTTTCCGAATTCAATCTGGTCCAAGACCCATTTCTGGTATGATCCATCTCCATCTAAGCCAAGCCATGCATATGATTGTTTTAGTAATCTTCATGTTGATATGTGGTTTTGCAGGGGAAGGTATATGAGTGTAGACTTCCGAGTTATAATGGATGCGGCACAAACAGAGCTGCTCAATTTTGTTGATAGAAATTCGGCTTTAGCTACATAGAGTGGGACATACGTACACAACCTACTTGATGATGAAATATACGCAAAGATTAAACATGATACGACGTGAGTAGATTCTGTTTTCTTTTCATTCTTTAGTGTATATTTGTTTAGTGTATGTTTTTTAGTTTAACTTTTTATTCACTAATATAATCTTGTTTTGTGGTTTTGTTCATATTATGTGTCGTATTCACAGTTACTTAATGTTCCACTCATCTTTTTGCTTAAAGTTTGAGCCTATTACAGTTGTGCACTGTCTCCAACTCCAAGGTTTAGATTTAGTAAATAAGATCTTTTGAGAACCGCATTGATGTTGAAGGGATTGTGCACTTCGTATTCAAAGTTGAGAGATTATTCGAAAACAGAAACTGCAAAGATAAAAACTAATATTTTTATATATAAAGAAAGATCTACACATTAGTTGCATTAATATAAAGAAAGAACAACGTTTCACATTCCTCAATAGCTCTGGACATTATCGTTCCTTTATCTCAAGACTGGCACTACATAGTAGCCACCTAAAGTTGGGTAAGCGCCAAACATAACCGGTCTCCGTGCCAGTTTAAGAAGCTCTTGTTCCCTGCGTAGCTGCTGTTCCCTAAGACACATTCTCTTTTTGTGCTGATCTAAACTAAGAGCCATTCGCACGAATATTCGAGCTGTGAGTTCGCTGTCGGAACCAGCATGGTGAGCTTCTCCCACACGCCTGATTTGAAGCTCATCGGCTAGTCTCTGTAACCCATAGCGAATGGTCATTCCTTTGTACAGATCCGCAGCCATCTTCTTCACATCAAAGTGAGCCCCGAGAAATTTCTCAACAGTTTCTGCAAAACATTCTGAAGTCTCGGGGAATGGTTTTCCTCCGGTTAAGCCTTTAAGTAGATAAGCCATGTCGTAGGAGCCATCAAACGTGATCCATGTCATCTTCTTATCTTTGTTCTTAAGAATCTGAGTGAACTCTGCGAAGAACTCATCTATACCGATTCCTTCTTCTCTGATTTTCTTCAGATTCAGACCGTTGCGTCGCAAAAAGTCAATGGATTTGTAGTTCTTTTCATCTTTTGTTTCATCGAAATCACAGAAGTTGACTTCCCATGTACCAAAGGTTCTTCCTTGGTTGTCTACCAAAGTGAAACCCAACTGAATAAGTTTGGTTTTGTCGACGTTGAATATCATGTTTCGGTGTCGAATTTCATCGCTAGCTTCCATTGGCGTCTCTTTCAAGCAACCGGGAAACTCTGCGTCGATGACGATGAAGGCACAAGTTCTTAGACATTCACGTATTAATATCATCTCTTCCTTCTTGTTCCAGTACCAGATTTCGCGGCAACTTTTGTCCATTGTGGCTCTCGATTTGTTTTTAGGAAAGAACAACATAGTATCTTAAGAGAGAATTCTGCGAAAGGATAAGCGAAAGTGAAACCTGAATGTGTTTAGTTTCGGGAATTATATAGAGAGATGTTGATCCTTAACGGTTTGTTTGGGATTTCCTTTTTAGAGACAAAAGTTTCCTTTTTTTGTTTTCAATCAAGGATTCCGCTGACTTTTGCTCCAACGTTTCCTTTTTTTTTTTATCGTTTTTTGTTCGACACGGAGACGGGAGTTTCCATATTTCTTTTCTCCCCTTTTTCTCTCAAATAAATTAAAAGGTCGGTTTACAATTTTATCTTTAAACCGAACAAAACTCCCCATTTACTACTGACCGACATAAAATCAAATAATCTTGGTTAGTTGCAACTGTTTTAAAGAACCGAACCAGTCCTACGATAACGGAGATTACAAACTAAGAACTCCGGTTAAATACAAATAAGGCAAATATTATAAGTTTTTTTTATAAAAAAAATCGTCTGAATTTCATTAATCAAGGAACCAATTAAACTCCTTAAAATAGAGTGGTATAAGGTTTGAGAGATACAAAAACGCATCAAAAAGCTGATAAACACTAGCGCCATATACGATTAAAACCTTCCATCCCGCAAGACGCGTTTTGCTATTTCGTTGCCAATGTGGTTTGATTTCTAGGATTCCAGTTCAAAAAATTTTAATTGGTTATTAAAAGTTATTAATATTCGTAACTCAACTCATTATCAGTAGAATAACATCACTTTGGTAGATTTTTTTTTTGCTTTATCATTTTGGTAGTTTTTGGTAAAAGACTTATAACCCAAGTTTTTGTAGTTTGGAGAATGGTTTGGTCTTGACTCGTGACTTCACTGTATCTTTTTACATCTGGGACGGAGGTAAAATGTGGTTTCACAGCATCTAAGTCTCTTTTGATGTTAATTTTTGCTAGTTTCCTTCAATAGTTGCAAGTTTCTCTAAGTTTGGACCATGTGAATAAGTGAATTAGCACTATTCTGTTTTTGTTTGAGGCTTCCTAATATCTAGTCCGAGTTAGAAACAAATGCTAACATACGAAAAAAGCAAGAAAACTTTTCTTTTTCTAATTCTTTTTGGGAAAAGAAACCGGGGCTAGTTCAAGCTCTTGAATTCTCCATCCCCCTATTTGAGACTCGAGACATTTTTCCATCAACTTATTTCTGTCCTTTACGAGCAAGAAACCGTTCCCTGGCCGCTTCAATCCTACTCTCAACATTCTCAGAAACTGCAGGTGGCGTTGTTTCTGCATTGTTGTTGTTCTTAGACAGCTCCGTCTTCTCCTCAGGTTCCTTGAAAGAGTTAGCCGGTCCACCGCTACATCGCAGATTAGACGAGACCCGATCAATTAACTGAATCCAAAGACCACAAAGGGGAAAGCTAGAACGATACTGGATTTGAAGTCAGTAGAGATGTTTGTTTGTTTTTACCTCAATTTTCTGACATTTAGTTTCTCGATCTTTCTTTTGATGGGAGCCACCCATGACATTTCTATTACACAAACATTACGCATGAACGGCCGTGTGGTGGAAATCAGCTCATGGTACACTACGTAATTAGGTAACATTCCCTCGTTGTCTGTACTCAACACAGATGATGGATGCACCTAGAATCAACCAAAAGCAAAACTAAACATGTGAATGATGGAGCGAATGATTTTATGAAGTATCTAACATTGTCACACTGTACAAGTATAAAAATAGATAAAGAAGACTTGGTTTGAGGAGTTAATACCTGCATTAGCTGGGGCTTGAAGCTAAGAGTCCGGTATCCATTATGACGAAGCATTCTCTCAGCAACTTGGTTTGCATTACCAACGCATAGAGCTTTCCTCAACTTCCTGTAGTCGTCTCGGCTTGAACTATTCCTTCCACGTGCCCCAACTTCCAATCGATCTAGTTTGTCAATGAGGCCAATTGTTTTAGGGACGGTTGGTTAGATATGAAACAGCCAACTATCGCATGTCACACAGAAATTAAGAGAAGTTGACATAAGTTCTGGTTCCGTAAGAGGTATAACCATGTAAGAGTGAAAGCCAAAGGCCAAGTATTCTTTCACGGGATCTTTTTGTCATGAAACAATACTAACCTTTGGATATTTTTTGCATAATCTGACATAACTGTCTTCTAACATCTTTGACAAACACCATCCCTCGCACCTGCAAATTATTTTCACAAAAATTTATTTTTCTTCTTAATGGCATTAAGGAACCTATGTAGTAATGTACCAAAAGGGATTCATCGAAACAAACTCGTAACTGAAATGGATAAAACTGTATGCAACAGAAAATACAAACTTGAAATTCCAACGGAGAACATCATATTCTTGACTACCTTCTCAAGTTATGACATTTGGTCACGATGCAAAATTTAAATACCATGCTTTTCAGGTGCGATACTCAAAAATAGATAGATAAGAAAGAACGAAAATGGAACAATGACCTGCATTCCATTTTGTTTGCACCATTCCGTATCATAGTTATTACGGTCCCAACATTCAAAAATCTGTAGCAATTGAATGTGATCACCAAATCCGGATCCATCAGGGAGATTAGATTCATCATGCTTCCTCTTCTTTTCATTTGGTTTGCTGTTATACAAGCAGAAATAATAATGAGAAGATCTGTTGTGATTTAAAACATTTCATAGCATGACTCAGGTAATTGTATATCACAAAAACTAACCTCCTAACAGGAAGTAGATTACTCTCTGCTGACAACATGGCAACTACTGTTAGAGCTTGAGATAAGCAACCATTTTCATTTGCTTCTATCAATGTTCTTGACAATGATGGTTCTAGTGGAAGCTCTGTTGAACCACAAATATGCTCAGTCTGAGATAAAAGCTCAAACTAAAACATTTATTAAACAATGGAAAAATGCGCTAAACATACCAGACATTGTCCGCCCAATACTTGTTATAGCTCCATTCCCATCAATTGCATCAATGAGATACAGTTGCTTCAACGCATCTTCTAATGACTCAGCTGCATATTATATGTAGGATCAAAACCATAGAAATATAATATAAATTGAAACAGCACGGTGTGTTTTGACACACCATCTTTTTTGTACAAAACTTTAGAGGCATCTACGTTCCGATAGAAATTAGTTCTTACATGATGGAGCGTCAAGAAAATCGAACTTCAGAATGTCAATATCAGGAAGATCCAACGATTTCAAGTAAAGAACACTCCCAGCAAGAGAAGTTCGTTGTATTTCAGGAACTGTTGCATCAAGGAAGTCATCCCGGAACACTGCGAAGGGATATAATCGATAACATTTCCCAGGTCTAGTTCTACCAGCACGTCCAGCTCGTTGGTTAGCTTGCACTCTGAAACACCACAGTGTAACAAAAATCGAAATACAATAAGCATATAGCACCTTGATGAAAATCAGAGTAAGAAACCACTATTAATCCTGAGTAAACATAAGTATATCTGATGAGGTCCTATTTAACCACTATTAGCACTCTTTTTGTAGGAGATTGTAGATATTTTCTACGTACAGTTATAGATAACATGCCACGTTAACTACGAGGTTCATTTTATGCACCGATAGATTAATAGGAGGTCATATTTAGGTGACAATTTAATGAAATGAACCAAGATAATTGAAACAATACTCATTTGCTTACTTGCTAATTTGAATAACATCAAGAGAATACATTCCACTCGAAGGGTTATATTGTCTTTGCTTCACATACCCTGAATCAATTACATACCTGTCACAGAGAAATATGCTAATCTGAGAATGTTATCGATCTCCATATTGTGAAAACATGATCTGACAAAATGTAGACATGAACTCATAATGCATCTGAATACGAATTTTGGCAACAGTGACAGAAGAATCAGAACAACCAAGCAGATTCATGAATGCAGTGTAAAAAATATTCTTGTACTAAATTCATTTTTCAATATGACAAAGAGAGCACAACCTTAAAGATATTCATGTAGAGTTATATCAATTGTCTGTTGCCAGTCAAAGTCCAAAGAAAAGATCTATAGAAGTGGTTATGAGCAACATGTACCGAAATCTAAAGTGAACTAAAAGGAGCGAGGAGTATAACAGCAAAATTAAGCCAACATCAAATATCTGATTGATTCGATTACTGGACTTGACTACAGTCTTCATGATTAGACTATATAAGGCAACATCAATTATCTATAGAATTGTTTCCTGGGCTAGACTTATTACCAGGGTGGTAAAAGTATCATTATGTTAGGCCGTAAATGGAAAACGGTCGATATGGGATGTGAAAACCAAAAATTAAAATTCAGGTTTCAGCTTTCTTACACAACCCCGTCCACAGTAAGGGAAGTTTCAGCGATATTTGTAGCAACAATAAACCTCCGGCAGTTTGGAGGAGGTGGACTAAATACACGAACCTGCAGAAATTGTCAAAGTCAAGACAAATTACCAAAACCTTTTAGACCACCAAGAGATCTTGATTGCAGAAACAAAATTTAGAAAACGTTACCTGCATTTCAGGTGGCAGAGATCCGTGAAGAGGATAAATAATAGCATCCATACAGGATCCTTCTGCTAAGCTTCGTACTTTTTCCTCCAGCTTTGATACTAATTTTTCTATATCATCCTATTTAAAACCACGACAGACTAAGCAAACGCAACAATGTAGATGGTTCTGCTAAGTTTCAATGAAAATAGGACAAACAAATGAAATAGACCTGTCCAGTCATGAAGATTAAGATATCACCTTCTGGCTCACGAACATGTATATCTGCAAGTAACAACAAGGTCATTAACTAAAAGAGAAATATATACTCTTAAAAATGAAAAGCAAGATTAACCAGATCAGATTAAATTGACGACAGCAACACCGGACCTTGAACATACCAATTGCTACTTTCAGAGATGACTCAATATAACTGCCAGGGCGCTCTTTGCTGTATAATATTTCCACGGGGTACAATTTTCCAGGTACATTCAGCACAGGGCAGCCCGAAAAGAATTCAGAAACCTTCTCTCCATCAAGTGTTGCAGAGGTTATAAGAACTTTGAAGTTAGACGAACGGATTCTAACCAAACGTTTCATTAGACCCAACAGAATATCCCTGAAAACAAAAATGGACCAAATTAAGATATATTCTAGAGCCTTTGTGCATGTTTGAATGAGATCTTGATGCCATACGAAACAATGTTACAGTAAAAGAAGGAAGTGAACCGTGATCAGCAAACAGAGATCAAATCTGAATATATATAAAAAGTCCTTACGTGTTTAAACTTCTCTCGTGAGCTTCATCCAATATGATTACAGAATAATCATCAAGCATTGGATTAGACAGACTCTCACGAAGTAAAACTCCATCTGTAAGGTATCTGGGAGAAATAAACAATCCCACAATGAGGAAACCAGTAGACAAATCATGTGAAAAAGAAGAAGATATAACTAAAAACATATTTTACATATTCCATTACTTAATGCGAGTTTTGCTCGAAGTTCTGTCCTCGAAACGTATTGCATAACCAACATCTTCTCCGAGATTCACATCAAGCTCCTGCGCGACGCGTCTGAAGACCAAAGCCCCGAAATTCGACTTAAATATCAATTCTGAGATCTTAAAGGAACCAACAAAGACTCAAATCATAGGGTGAAAAATGAACGGGAAAAATCACCTGGCGACGGAAACGGCGGCGACGCGTCGGGGCTGAGTGACGGCGATTACGCCGGACTTTGTGTAGCCACGTCGATGAAGTATCTGAGAGAGCTGAGTACTCTTTCCAGAGCCGGTTTCTCCGATTATAACTACCACTGGGTTCTTCTCCACTGTTTCAACGATCTTCTCTTCGAATTGAAGGATCGGAAGATTCGCCATATCACAGAAAAGCACTCGAAGAAACGAAGCTGTAACTGTTGATTTCTGCCTTAGCTTCACTCTAAAATCTCATCTACAACGAAATTCATTCTCCGACGAACGACGATAGTTTCACAGTAGACCCAAATCGCACTCCGGCACTTCAACAAATTCAAATCAACACAAGTTTCATAAACCCTTTCATTCAACATCTTCCCTATATTATTGGTAGGCTTTGCGTCCGGTTTATTTAGGAAAATTTTCCAATCCCAATCAAATTATGGTTCGGTTCGGTTCGAGTATCGGGATATTTTAGATTTTAATTTCTCTTAGAACCGAATCATTCACTTTAGTCCCTAACGTGATTTTAACAGAACGGGGCTTACTTCCAGAGACGAATTATTTTTTGTAGTAAAATACATCTTAGTATATAGCAAATACCAAAAACCTATACAAAGCATCCTTTTTTGCCTCCAAGACTTTCAAAAAGAGATAAAATAATAAGTCTTTAGGAGGGAGAAAAACAAGTTAAACTTTACACCAACTAAAGGTAAAAGACCCGACTCTCAACACTGGTAAACTGAGAAGCTCTTGCTTTTCCATAGGAAACTGAACGCTCTTCCCATTTTCTTTCTCGAGGCTGATTTACACTGCGGTTTTGACTCTGTTACAGCGGCTGCAGCGACAGAGAACCCGCTCTCTTCCGGGCTCCTGACCTCTGTATGTGTTTCTGTAAGATGGGTTTGATCCCTCTGCCTCAGTTCTCTGAATAGTGTCAGTAGCTTCTGTGCTCTCTCTCTTCCCCTTTGAGTCCCGTTTACGGATATAGATACCAAAGAAGGTATCACTCCTTCCTGTAAAACCATCTGGCTACAGATCTCACTGTGATTGCATAATATCAGAAGCAAAGAAACTGCTTGTTCTTGCTCGTTTGGTTCACCCGTGTCAAGAATGGTGGCTAGATTGCTCACTAAGCCAGGTGCTGAAACCATCTCGTCTTTTCCAGCCTCGTTCAAAACCAGATTTAAGAGAACAGCTAAGGACTTTTCCGTCCATCGTTGGTCATCACTGACGGTGAGGGATTGAAGGGCATTGACAATGTCGGCAGATAGGAGGCAGGGAATATTGGGAGGGTGAGTGGATAGGTGGAAGAGTGCGTGAAGGGCATCGACTTTGCATTGGATTTCAGTCTCTTTCCAAAGAAGATTTACCATGAAAGGAACTGCCAGACTCGAACCTATTACGGGCTTTGCTTCTTCAAGACACGACAGGTTCAGATAAAGTGCTGTCACTGAACCATGGGAATGTGGATTACAGAGCATTTCCTCCAGCAGAGGAATAATTCCTGATACTAACATCAACTCCTTGTTCCTGAAAAATTCCCCCAAAAAATAATTAGCCGAATTTTTACTTTGTTGTCTAGTTGATTCTGTAACGAATGTGTAGATCATATACTACACTAACTGAAGTTATGAGCTTGATCATAAGTGATGGAAAGGGATATAGAAATCAAGGAATACCTGTTGTTGTTCACAGCCAAGTTGAAGAGAGCCATGGCTCCAACTTTTTGGGCTGAAGCATTTTTTTCAAGGAGCGCTGCTCCGAGAAACTGAAGCAACGCTTCAACACATCCATTTTCCCCCATGAGAAACCTGGCCTCCTCATCATCCTTTAGCAATACTCTTATTTGCTCAACAACTCTGCATTTCTTCCTTAAGTTATCCACTATACTCAAAGTGGTCAACAAATCCGTACATTGTTCAACAAGAGTAACTTGAGCTTCCTGGTATTCTGATTCACAAGCTTCCTCTTTAATAGTTCCACTTTCTTCCAAAGGAACCACCTTCACGTCCTTCAACTTACAAGAACCAACACCTTTCGCTGTTCTCGTTTCAGTGGACTCGGATACAGACAATGCCAGCCTCCAATAGTTAAGGTCTAGAGACTCAGGGGGTCCATCAGGGACCTGAACGCCATTCTGTTCACACCAACTCGAAATTAGAGCCTTGACACAATAGTTAGGAGTCAAGCATAGATGAGAGAGCTGCTGGTGAGTTTTGGGACATGTGTTGTGTCCATCGCTAAACCACTTCTCAATACAGATTCTCTCATACGTTTGTCCAGATGCGATAATGACAGGGTCGTACATAAGCTGCAATGATATCGGACACCTCAATTCTTCTGGCGGAACAGACATCTGCACAGATTTCCTATTGTTATTGCAAGGTCTGAAGTTGAAGGAACTGAGTTTTGACAGCTGGCGGTCGAAAGCACGACCAGGGACATCGTCAAGAGAACCCTGAATAGTTGGCGAACAAGGCAATGAGCTACTACCCTGTGAATCATTGTCATCCCAGATCTCACTTCTAAATAGCTTTGAGTACTTCCTCATGAGGTGTAATAGGTAAGCCACAATTGATTCTTTCCTCTTGTCATCCTCCATTCGGGCCCTCTCAATGAGTTTCTTGAGACATCTTCGCTCTGTTAGAGCTGCTCTTGAAGAAGTGATACCTAGTCTAGTAGCAGCTTTATGGAAAACCTCAAGCTCGTTATTATCAGATGTGCTCTCAAAATTGCCCCCTTGTTGCAGCAATCCAATTATTTGATCGCCAATTTCCTTCTCTGACGGATCAAGTGAAAACTGAGTGTTCTCTAATTCCATCAAAATCTCCAAAATCTGCAAAAGTAAGATATAAAAGCACTCAACACTAGAGATATTGCTAACTTGCCAAGAGAGAAGAAAAGGAATATAATTTCGGAGCAGCAAGAAACAGGAACACGGAGAACTAACTACCTGAGATCCAATTGACTGTTGGACTATATCCTCAACACGCCTAAGGCTATCTGTAAGAGAAGATTTCGCCTTCTCAAATTTCGAAACTACTGAGTCCCCTGTTATAGCCTACATGTCAAACCAAGTGGTTAGCAAGAGTCTCCGGAAGAAGAACTGGATTAGTTCTGAAATCTTACGTAAATAAAACGAAAACTTACCAAGTAAAGTTTACTAGATTCAGTGCAATGGCGTAGAATGTTCTTCACTTTTTCTAAAACCACGTGAAGTGAACACAAAGCTTGAATTCCAGATTTGCTTCTCGGCCGAGCATCTTCGAGCGACGGGAAAATAGACATGATCTTGCAGTAAATCACTGAAAGGGCATTGCACATTTCTCCGTGTAGCTGAAAACAGGAATCTGTTAGCCACTCTTTACACTTACAGTCAAAGATAAGACATATTACAACTCCTATAAACTATGACAAAATCAATACAACCACAGATTTTTTTGTACATCACAGAATCAATCGAAACATACAATAAAGATACAAAGAAGAATCGACATCTATAGGGAGAGTCTCAACAAAAACTATCATATTAGATTATTGGGAAAATAAAAGAGTCTGATTCAGATACCTTGGCATCACTAGGGGCAAAAAAACTTTCTTCAACCTCGTTAGCATCCATTGTTTCAACAACTCGTTGTATGTATCTATGGCAACAGCTCTATATCGGCTTAGAACTCAATCCTACAAGAAGAAAAGAATCTGAATCAGTGAGAAGTTAAACCAATTTATAGAAAACAATCCAGGTCAGTGTATGCTCAACTGCAACGTGTTGTGCCCAGACAAAAACAAACCAAAAGAGAAGCATACATGAACAGAGCCAGAAGATAAAAAGACAATGAAAGACGAAATTTTAACAAAAGCTTTTTAGTTTGGGGCATTTCAACAAACAAATAAGATGCAAAATCATCAGGATACCAAAACCCAAAAACTCAGCAAAGAAGATTCTTGGTTGTCAAGAAACAGAGGGAAGAAACAACAAATCAGAACACAAGAAGAAAAATCAAAAACCCCTAAAATTAATCTGGTGAATTCCCCCAACACATACATACCCAGATGAACATAAAAATCAGCTTAAGAATCGAGTGAAGCAGAGGAGCATACGTACCAAAAATGAATCGTTAAACTGCATCCGATAAAAATAGGCAGAATAACAATCATAAACCAAAACAAGCAATCAAGAGAAGAGCATCAGGCATTGGTTATAATAATGATTATCTCTCCTTGAGATGCTGTTTCTGGGTAGTTTCTGCGACGGTGTGATTTACAGTTGCCGAGCTTTTCAAGGCAAAGTTTTCTCGATCCCAACAACCAGAGAGAAAGAGCTTCGGCTATGGCTAATACACCGATTGGGAAATTTTTGAAGGAAAAAAAAACATAATAAAAATAAATATATTAGTGAAAAAGGAGAAGTTCTTCTGAAGTCAAAATAAAGCCAAGACTTGCGAGTTGCAATTGCAAGGTCGCAAGTACACACAACACAATAGATTTGTTTTCTTAATTTCAAATCAATCTTTTAGTAAAAAAGATTCTGTTATTATTTAATCAAACGACTCTATTATTTTTTTCAAATGATTTTAAATATTACTAGATTTGCATTAGCAACGGCATATTTTTGTTTGGTTCATTAGCAACGGTATTATTAGGGGACATTTTAATTATAAGGAAAAAAAACAGCTTCTTAAGATACTCAATAATTTCTTTTATATCATTATGGTGTTGGCCACTTAATACATAAATTTACCCTTGACAAGAAAAAATATGCAAAAAAATTATCTTTATACAAAATGCACTGTTACTAGTGAAAAGACGATGCAATTGTAATCTTCAAATTTCTAATTATTAAAGATAAAATTTTCTCTTTGTTGTCTGAATGTTTTCATTTATTTTTTTTGTCGTCGACTGATAATTATAGTCTTATAGATATGTGATGTAGAATAAACAGCTTTTAACATGTTGGCTCGGTCGAAGTATGGTCAAGCCAATGAGAGGTCCATTTTTCACCGACATTCATATTGTAAGTAATAACCACGTCTTTATTCCAAACACTGCATCTTTTTTTCCTTCCTCTTTTTCTTTGTTTTCTTTTTGTTTTTACATTACCTCTAGAACAACACAAGCATAATATAAATAACTTTTTATTACTTAATATCCTAGTTATTATTAATAAAAATGACAATATATGATGGTCTACTGATTAATTTTGAAAATGTTGGTAACAACCAACAAGTACTGATAAGGTTCAAAAAAAAAACTCACAAGTACTAATCAAATTTGGATAAATCGACTTAGTAAGTATTTTTAAGGTATGACATTTAATATAGGAAATGTCCTAAGTAGATTTTAAACATATGCAAACTTTCAGTTGTTGATTATTCGGTTCAAAAAATGGGTCTAATAATTTGTGGAAGAGAGTTTGAAAAAAAAAAAGATTCCAACAAATTGTTTAAAAAAAAAAAAATCTCAGCTGAGAATCGTATATACGGATTTGTACTACTAGAATCTTTAGTAAAATAATTGACGTAAAAATTATTTGTAGTCTTAAGTTTATTATGGAGGTTTTAAAACTTGTAGAAAATTCCTACAATCTTTATCATTAGCAGTTTTAATTTAAAAGAAACAATATAACTAACAGAAGAGTTAATGAATTAATTAAAGTTCGATATTGTTAATGTTAGTTTTTTAATCAATGACTTTGATGTGGTTAGCAAATAAGAATAAAACAAAAGTTTGAATTATATTGGAGGGTGAGTTGAGGAGTTTGCCGACTTCGACGGCCGACACGCGCCGACAGTACATGCATATGTCGGCTATTTTAGATCTTACATTAAATATCCTTAATTACAAATACCTCTCTGTTTGTTGTCAACCATGTTCGCTTTTTCAAATCTTCTTTCTTTTTTAGTTGCCAAACCAATTTGTAATGATTATACGTTGTCTGTTCAATTTCGGCATATATTTCCAAAATTATTTCTCTAATGTAAACATAAGAAAAGCAAAAATTGTCGTTTATAAATTCTTTTACAGAAAATGGAATATCACCTAAACCCATCATATTTACAGTTGATCAATGTAATCCTAACAATGAACACAATTAAAATGCAAACACCTTCTCTAACATAAAAATTATTTGAAATACAGTAATTAATTTGAGTGGTCTAAATCGCTGTGCAAGTCGGTGGATATCTCTGAAATAGGTTGAATTTTAATTTGTCTCGTTAAGAAATGGTTGGATTGTTACGTTTTTGTCGTTTTGAGTTTAATACCTCACTAGAGGACCGCACGCCATGTTATAATGGTACCCTCACCAAAAAACACTATACAGCATTGATACCGATTCAATTCATGCTTGAAACACTAACACTTCCTTAAATTACAAAAATGCTTTTCTCTCAAAGTCAGAACATTTTTGTGTTTTTCAAGAAAAGAAAAGCTGGAGAACAAGAAGAGATCGAAGGTCTGTTGGATCAGACTAACTACACCTACGACTCTCATGTTTGTAATGAAGTGAGAAGATTTGATGCCAAGTGCTATTTGAGAAGAAACAAAGGAAACAGAAGTATTGCGTCTCTCTCTCTCCATGAACGAGTCAAGGTTATTGAATAACACAAGTGTCTGATCTTCAAACTTTCAGATGCTGTTATTGAACTTGATAATTGAATCATCGTTAGTCAAAGATTTTGTTGCATCTTTTAAAATTTTCATTTAAATAAAAGTATAAATCCAAACGCTCAAAATTCACTTTTCACCAAGTATCTTTTAGAATGACTTCTTGTAAAATAGTGGAATGTGTCTTGGGGCAGTATAGAAGCTGAAAATCCTTTTGAAATTTGTTAACTCGTCCCTCTAGCTGATCATTATATTTGCTAATATGTGAGTGGAAAATGATCATTATATTTGTTAGCTAGTGGAGTGTCTCCTCTACGAATTTATTTAAGAGACGTATCAAATAAGTCATTATAAAGTATAATAGTCCACGAGTAACACTTATAAAATGGTCTTCTACAACAGAAAAATGCAAGAACAGGTTGATTTCAGAGATCATAGTGTGTTTTAATTTATTTAACTTCATAGTTTGTAATCACAAGAACTTGATAATGATAACCAAAGAACTTTACCTAATCCACGGGAAAAAAGGCCAAAGCTAATTTCTATTGGGTTTTGATAACATAGTAATCAGCAAAGGGATAAAAAGCACCAGAGCTTGCTTAGGAATCAAGTTTTCTGTCATATAAACAAAAACATCTCTCTCTGGCTTTTCATACAGCAGAAGCAAACGCATCAGCACAAAAGCGACTCCTAAACCTTACCATATTTATATAAATAAAATTAAGTTGAGAAAGAGAAAGAGAAAGAGACCTAAACTGAAGAATCAAAGAAGAGGAGGGAGATGCGGATGAGCCATCACTTAAACAGGAAGCTTTTGCAGCAGAATATGTGTCACTTTCACCCTTGTCTTCAAAGCAAAACCAGCACCAATAGCACAAAGCTCTCACACCTCAATTCCCTCAATCCCAACATTGGAGAATCATCTATCAGAAGATGGGTTCCCTTCAGACACCGATAGGAATGAGAAGCTCCTCGTTGTTAGATACGTCCTGCGGATATTTGCTCAAAGAGTTACAGGCAAGTTTGTTTCATGGTGCATTTTTTGTTTCTTTCAAGTGAAATGTTTCAAAATTAAAAGAGAAGTATGATAGATGGATAATAACTGTTTTGTATACAGATGATATGGGATGAAGTCGGAGAAGATAAGTTCGAGAGAGAGAAAGTGTTGCTTGATATAGAGCAGGAATGTGTAGAGGCTTACCGGAGAAAAGTTGACCATGCCAATATTTCAAGGTCTCGTCTACATCAAGAGCTGGCGGAATCTGAAGCTGAACTCACTCATCTTCTTCTATGCCTCGGTGAAAGATCAGTACCTGGAAGGGTAATTTTCATTCTTTAATATCCATTGTTAAGCAAAGATTATTCGAACATGCATTAAACAGTGATTCTCTAGACGGTGTCTGTACTATGTGAATGCTGATATTCAAAGCCAAGACTAAACTATCATAGATAATGTTGTTGTCATTCTCTATACAGCCGGAGAAAAAGGGAGGAACACTGAGAGAGCAGCTCGATTCTATTGCGCCTGCACTGCGTGAGATGAGGCTGAGGAAAGACGAGAGAGTGAAGCAGGTCCGATCTGTCAAAGTGGAGATTCAGAAAATTTCAGCAGAAATAGCAGGTAGATCGACATATGAAGACTCACCTACAAATATAGCCATAGACGATAACGATCTTTCTATTAAGAAACTTGAAGATTATCAGAATGAACTGCATAGGCTCCATGATGAGAAGGTACATTGGTAATACTAATTTGGGAACACAGTATTTTAACTATATCAGACAGTTATGGCTTATCCATCATGTTGTCTTAATTGTTCTGTCACACAAAGAATGAGAGACTACAGAAGGTTGAAATATATATATGCGCCATTCGAGATCTATCAGCAACCTTGGAAACAGAAGCATCGATGATCATAACAAAGATTCACCCAAGCCTGAATGACCTCTATGGAATATCCAAAAACATAAGTGATGATATCTTAAAAAAGCTTAATAGCACTGTTGTATCTCTCGAAGAGGAAAAGCAGAAGCGCATTGAAAAGGTGAAGCTAATTAGACATGTTCCATTACATTTCCAGGCATTTCTTCGGGCATACCTCAGAAAATAGCTTGACAAATGATTTAAAACACAAGTCAGTGAAGGTGGAACCAAGATATTGTTATCTGACCTTTTAAGACATCTTACTAATGGCAGATTCACCATCTTGGTAGAGCTTTATCAGATCTGTGGAGTCTAATGGATGCATCTTATGAAGATCGTCAAAAGTTTTCTCAAGTCATTGATTTACTGTCATTCGAACCATCAGACGTGTGTGCTCCTGGCAGCATTACATTGGGCATAATTCAGCAGGTAAGTATGTAATGTAGGATAAAGGTGTCATACCCAATGATAGATGATGTAACTTGCCTTTTCTTTTGCGCAAAATTTTCCCAAGGCTGAGGCTGAAGTTAAGAGACTAGATCAACTGAAAGCAAGCAAAACCAAAGAACTTTTCATCAAGAAGCAAAAGGAACTAGAGGATACATGCAACATATCACATATGGAGACTCCACCAACCGAAATAAGAGATTTAACGAACCTTGTAGACTCTGGTGGGACAAACTGTAACTTTCTGCAACTGCTGCGTCTCTTTATAATTTTATGTCACACACTCATTGCAGAGTTTTTATACTCTATATTAAAGGGGAAGCTGACCACGTGGAACTTCTCACCGCCATGGATGAAAAGATAGCAAGAGCAAAGGAAGAAGCAGCAAGTAGAAAAGGAATAATTGAAAAAGTGGATAGGTGGATGTTAGCAAGTGATGAAGAGCGCTGGCTAGAAGAATATGACCAGGTTTCACTACTATTCATTCCTTTATAACAAAATTGATTGCAATTCATCTCTATAGTCTAATTCATGCAATGAATCACAGGACGAGAATCGATACTCAGTAAGTAGAAATGCTCATCGAAACCTAAGGCGAGCGGAACGGGCACGCATAACAGTCAGCAAAATCACAGGTAATATAGGCATGGGGATGCAACTCTCAGATATCAACGAATAAAGTTACAAATGACATGAACATGCATCTTCTTAGGTTATAATGCAACTATAGACTGACCATGTTTTGATGCTCACACCAGGATTAGTGGAATCTATATTGGTAAAGACAAAGAGCTGGGAAGCAGAAAGACAGAAAGTATTCTTGTACAATGAGGTGACACAAGTTGATGCCTAAGTGAATTAACAATAAAAAAAACTCTGAAAATCGATAGGATACTCACTTCACTTGTGCTTCTTACAGGTACCTCTTGTTGCAATGTTACAAGAATACAATAAGCAGAGGCAGGAGAAGGAGGTGGTGAAGCAAAGGCTCCGGGAAATGAAGAAGATCCTTCCACAACCTATGGCAGAGCAAGATAACTTTTATGTGGCGAGGCCAAGTAGTAGCAGCAGTCGCCGTATCTCAAATCGAAGCATCAACGGTGGACTCGGCAGTGGAAGTCCTTTAAACCGAAAGCTTTTCAGAGGATTCAACAGTGCTAATTACACAGCTCTTGGCACATCTTTTAGAAGAGATAGCAGAAAGAGTCAGGCACAGTCTTGCTTCACATCTCCGTGATGCAAAACAGCTTCTTTTGTATCATTTGTCTCTCCTTGACTTCATTTATCCTTTTCAAATTCAAAAAATAAAGTAGTATCCTGTAACAAGACTGTGAAGTTATCACTTTTTCGGAAGCAGGCATCCATCAATCATGTGTCTTTATTACGAAACCCATCTTGAATCTTAAGACAAAACTCATATTTCAGACAAAACTTCAAAGAGTAGAATGCCCGAGCTTTAGCAGTGGTCAAAGTACTTGACTTTCGGGTGGAAACTTACAGTTTCGAGTCCAATTTAAGAGCAAAAAACAATGGGAAATTGAAAAAAAAAAAAGGAGAAAAGTCGTTGGAGTTGGATTCGATTTCGTTTACTACGCAGAGGTCAAAAGTTGCGACACAAATAAATTCGCTAAGACCGAATTAATGAGATGATTTATGGAGGATGAAAAACCTGGAATCAGTCTGCCGGAGATAATTTCTCACCGGCGGGGGTCTGGCGGCGGAGCAATCCACCGTCTGAGTTAATTTGGAAGTAAATAAATTCGACTCTTTTTTTTCTTAAGTTTTGTCGTAACGGCGACTCTAACGCGATGTGAGACACTGACAATCAAATTCAAGATTTTTTTTGTTTCAAATATCTTGCCAATAACTATGCTAATTATTTGTGTCTCGTTATTGGACATAGTATTAACATGCTAATTAATTTGGGTATTAATCGGATATGATGAAAACCAGCTTAAACAGTATTGTATCATTTAGAGAAATAACCATTACAGTGTAATCCGTTAGCACGCCTAAATGTTTCTTCAAACACCAAAGCCCTCCATAAGATTACAAAAATTATTTTAATCAATTTTATATATAATCTGTTTGATTTTACTTACTATTTCTCTAATCAAATTCTTTTTTGTGCTACCTGCCTAATAAACCATATTATCTATGGTAGATATCAGAAAAGATTCATGCAATTTACTTAGGGATTATGGGTCTCTTTACTTATTTAGAAGGGATCCCTATTTAGAATACTGAAATAGTTAAATATGGTTGCAAAAAAAAGGCACGATCTAAATATAGTGACTGTTTGGGCTATACGTAAAAGTTAAAATTGGTAAACGTCCACATAGCAATTTGTACATGTTCTTTATTTTGCTTTTGGTTTTTAATGAAAGTTACAACACGCAATTTAACGAGAGATTCTTGTCGTCATATCAATTTATCCTCTTTTTTTTGTCAAACATATCAATTTATCCTTTTCATTACTTTTTCAAGGTAAAACTACAAAATACTCGTTGGAAACAAATACGCAACACCAACTTTTCTTTCGTCAAAATGAAAAGTCTTACCAAGTTAGGGTTGAAAATTAGACTGGCAAAAATAGACGCCTTAACGATTTTTTAGACTTCTCTACGTTTTCAGCAAACACTTAGTTCAGTTTCCATATAAGAATGTCTAATTACCTTATATATGATGACAAAAGTAAGATATATAAATGCCCTACGCAATACGGAAAGTCCACGTCGATACGAAGGCTTAGGCAAAAAAACACGAGATGTTGTAGATCCAACATTGTCGGCAGTAAATCAGAATAATAAGTGAACTCTATGTAATAAAAGATAAGAAAAAGGGCAAAAAAGGAAAAAGAGTAAAAACCGTGTCGCAATCTTTAGCAAAACCTATAATCACCACCGTCAACGGTAGCGTTAGCAGCCGCCGGAGGAATCGCGAAATGCCATAACCTCCCGGCGGCATGAACTCTATATTTCCGGCATAAAAACTCCTCCGCATAAGTCTTCTCCACTCTCCGATTAACATCGTGCAAGAACACATGAGTGACTCCAGGTTTCTTCCGGTTCCTAGCAATAACCGCCGCCGAGAAAATCGCCGCCATTCTTCCCGGAGCTTCGGCAAAGTAACCTTTAGGAGCATCGACCATAATCAGATCCCACTCCGTATCGTAGAACTCATCGGGAAGTCCCGTGAGAGCGAGCTTACACCGATCGTTTCCTCGGAGATAAGATTTCGCCGGAAAACAGCTAGGCTCCGATTTGTAAGAGCGTAGAAGCTTATCGGCTTCTTGTAGCTGCGTCCTGTAACGCACGTGATGTGCACGGAGAAAAGGTGAGTCTTTGGTCACTTTCTGAAACCACTCGAGATCTTCTTCGAGGAACAAGGTTTTGCCACGTGGATTAAGAGAAGCCCACATGAGCGAGTCGCGGCCGAGACCGAAGACGAGGAAGTTGGCCGGAGCTAGCTGTTTGAGGACGTTGAAAGAGATCGAGATCTCGTTGATGTTCTGTTGCGGGACCACCGTGGAGGTGGCGTAGTGGAAGATCGCTTGGAGCTGGATCGGAGTCGCTGAATAATCAGCCGCCGCGGCCACCGCTCGGCTTTTGGCGTTTGCGGTGGAGCAGAGGAAGAAAGCGTCGTCGGCGGCTCGTATGAAGCTTGTGAAGAGTAGAGCGCCGCCGATTAGACCGGAGAGTAAAACGGCGGTTATGATCCATCGTTTCTCCGATGGGATTAAGCTGGTCATCTTTTTATCTTTTACCTTTTTTTTGTTTTAATGTATCTCAGATCTGACTATTTTCTCAGGTCGAGAACTCTGATGAGAAAAATGGAGATGTGAACGAGGATAGTTGATTGGGGAGAGATAAAAGATTATTGAGTTTTTTTTTTCTTGGAGGAAGGCAACTGGTTTTATGACGCGTGTCCATATCCGACCATTGAAGTCGTTTTTAGCTTAAGTCAGATGGTGTGGACAAGACATGTAACTGTGGCTTATTCGAATTTGTAAAGAAAATATCTGTAGGCATATGTTATTTAATTGGAGTATGGAGTTTCGTGCCCACTTTGCTTTTCGAAAGATAACAATTAACAAGATCGTCTCTATTGCCAAATAAAATAAAATAAAACAAATATCTTATGAGTTTCATCGGTTGATTTCCAAATCTGTTAAGAAAGATATTTTTATTAACGATTTGTTTAAATGTTGTTTTGCAGTATAAGATCCAATTTTACATAATATATACCTATTATAGTATGTGTGCATGCATATATATAGGTAATAAAAAAAATGTTAAAGAAACTTCAACGCTCGCAAGTCACACCACTTCTTGAAGACTTGTCAATTGCTTATAAAAACCATCAGATATGGAAACGAGCTCTCTATGACTTCCTTTTTCCACAACTCTTCCTTTGTGCAACACAGCGATGGTGTCTGCTTTTCTTATGGTCGATAGCCTATGAGCCACCAGAACCGTGGTTCGTCCCTTCATGAGCTTGTCTAACGCCTCTTGGACCAGTTTCTCCGAGCTCGTGTCCAAAGCACTCGTTGCCTCATCAAGGAGAAGCACTGAAGGATCCTTAAGAACAGCTCTCGCAATAGCCACTCTCTGTTTCTGACCACCTGATAACTGCACTCCCTTATCACCCACGTGCGTCTTGTACCCTTGTGCCATCCTGCTTATGAACTCGTGCGCGTTCGCGGCTTTTGCAGCTTCGATGATCTCTGCCTCCGACGCGTTCTCCTTCCCATACCTGATGTTCTCGTGTATAGTTGTTGAAAACAGAGCTGGTTCTTGTTGGACTAATGCTAACTTCTTGCGCAAGCTACGTAGGTTTAAGGTTTTTATGCCTTGCCCATCGATGAAGAGGTTTCCGTTGTTCGCATCGTAGAATCTCATAATCAGTCCAATCACCGTGCTCTTTCCCGAACCACTGGATCCCACGACCGCAAGACTTTTCCCGGCTGAGACTCGGAGGTTTAGGTTTTGGAAAATGGGGATATCTGGTCTCGCAGGATACGCAAAGCTCACGTTTCTAAACTCGATGTCTCCTTTGATCTGAGTGACCAATCTTGAGTTAGGTTGGTCTGGAGGTATCTCCGTCTCTCTGTTTAAAACCCTAAAGACCGACCCGAGTGCTTGCGTGCCCTTCACGATATCTGGGGTCAAAGCAAGCGTTTCCGCTACTGAGAAAGCCGTGACGATCAACACCATGAAGGATTTTATACTATCCGCGAAATTCGTCTCCTTGTGATTGATCAAAACCGAGACGTACCAAAGGCCAAGAGCGTAGGAACAGAAGGCGAGAAACTGAGACAAACCGTATCCAAATCCAGAGATATGACCTCTGAGAAATGCATTTTTGGTGGGTTTGCTTAGCTCACAAGTAAACTGTTCTGAGACTTGCTTTTCAGCTCCAAACGCAGCGACAGTTCGTATATTCGCAATCGCTTCACGCGCTACTGAAGTTGCTTTAGAGTAAGCCCTTGTGTAGTCTCCTCCAAAGCCTTTTAGAAACAGTTGCTGTAATATACATAACAGTTCAAGCTTTTTTAAGTTTTGAAGATTCGATTCAGAATAGTGTTACGAGTATCTTAGGTTTTTGAGTTACCTCGGTAAGTGAAGCGGCAATGAGAAGAGGGAAACAAGCAGTTACGACAGCTGCAACACGCCAACTGTAGAAAAAGGCAATTGCTAATGCTGTGATTGTAAGAGACAGGTTTTGGACTATTGTCGAGAGGCGATCTGCTAGAGCACTCCTCACCAAAGTTGCATCAGCAGCTAAGATCGTAGTGAGTGAACCAGTGTTGTTCTCATCCAAGTCAAACCACCCAATCTCATTCGTTAGAATCACTGAAATTGTTGTAAGAAAACACATGCACATTCAAGAAACGAATTGATTTTAAAACAAGGGATGTTTAACTTTGTTTTTTGTTTTAACCTGAGAACAAGGATAAGCGAACCCTAGAAGTAAGACGCTCTCCCATGAGTGTATAGAAGTAATGTTGGAGGAGATATACGGGAGCTGTTAAAATTCCAACTACAACGTAGATAATAGCTACCTTTTCGACTTCTCGCTTGATCACATTAGGAAAAGGAGAATAAAACGCGGTTAATACATAAGCAATCCCCATGGAGAATAATGAAGTTTGTGCTCCAGCAAGAACTGCACCAATTGAGCCAAGTAATGCATACGGCCACTCCGGAGCATTCAGCTTTATAAGTTCCCATATCATCGAAGATGAGCTTAAAACTTTTTCGTTTGAATCTTTTTCAGTCTTCTCTTGGTCTTCCCTGAAGCTTGAAGTTCTCCTTGAGCTAGAAACCCTTCTTGAACTACAAGATCCAGCTTGAGATTTACAAGATTCCGACATAATCGATCTCGGGTTGTCTTGAGGTTCTGTTTCTTGGTAATTCACAAGAGTCGCGTAATCTCCTCCTCTTGATATCAGTTCTTCGTGGCTACCGGTTTCCATAACCTGACCATTTCTCAATACAACAATCTTGTCAACATTTCGGATGGTGGATAATCTGTGTGCAACGACGATTGTTGTTCTTTTCTCCATAACATTTTCAAGTGCTTGTTGGACGATCTTCTCTGATTCAGCATCAAGAGCGCTTGTTGCTTCATCTAAGAGTAATATCTTTGGATTTCTTAGAACCGCTCGAGCAATCGCAATCCTCTGTTTCTGTCCTCCTGAGAGCTGAGTTCCTCCTTCTCCAACCTATTAGAATGGTTTGACCAATAAGGAAGTAGACCTATACATATATGAAAAGATGAAAATTCCAGTAAATATACCTGAGTATTGTAACCATTTGGTAATGATTTAATGAAAGAATCTGCGTTTGCTGCTTTAGCAGCTTCTATGATTTGATCCATAGTTGCATTCCCTTTACCAAGAAGAATATTAAAAGCTATGGTCGTGGCGAATAATGCCGGTTCTTGACTTACTAATCCCATTTGTGACCTCAACCATCTCAGCTTCAGGCTCTTGATGTCATTCCCATCCAAGAGAATCACCCCTGATTTTGGTTCATAGAAACGTTGAACCATTGATATGATTGTGCTTTTCCCTGAACCACTTGGACCAACAAATGCAAAAGTCTTTCCTGAACGTATTGTGAAACTAAGATTTTCAAAAACCATGTTTGGTCTCGAAGGATATGCGAAAGACACTCGATGAAACTCAATCTTTCCAGCTACGTTATGCAATATAGTTCCATCTTCTAATCTTTCAGAAGTCTCAAGATTGTTGTTCCCTATCATTCTCAATATATTTGCTGCAGCAACTCTTCCTTTGGCAATCGCGGATAAGCTAGGTGCGGCTTGACCTAAGGCGCTGCAAATGCAAGAAAATGATTATGCAGTTTGATGATATATTAAGCAAAAAGGTCTAGGGTTTTTGGGACTTACAATCCACTGAAAATGACATTGAGGATTGTTGTGAAGGCTTTTGCGCCGTTGGTTTTTCCGTGGCGTACAAGAAGACTTGCATACCACAAAAGCAAAGCCCAAGCACAGAACAAGAGGGTATATGTTAAGCCAACTCCTAAGCCTTTAGCAAAACCGCTCCTTTTACCGAGTTTCAGAGCTTTCTTGAGAGAATTTGAGTAAGAGTTTATAGCCTTCTCTTCTCCTACAAATGCATACACTGTTCTCACCTGCGACATAGCCTGAAGATCCATATAGAATTTTTGTTATCTAGTATCAGTCCAAAAAGTGTTAAGAATTGACTAAAAAGAGAGATCTAGATCTTGATGATCAGTCCAAAAAGCGATTATATTTTACAATGAGAAACTTTTTTCACACGTCAACCTAGACGCATAAATTAGCGTTTGAATCAATGTCAACAAACCTCTTCAGCGACTTTTCCTGCATCAGAATAAGCAGCTTCACTCTTCTCAGAGATGGTAGACATGATTATAGCATACCCTCCTCCTGCTATTGCTATCAATGGAACCACTGCTAACGTCAGCAGCGTAAGTTGCCATACCGACAAAAAACCGATGACAAATCCGGCGATGAACTGGGATAGGTATCGCAAAACATGGTCTGTCTGAAACAAAAACAAAGCATTTTCCTCTGTTACATATTTTGTTTTGATTTGCACCTAATATTAATTCATATATTAGAAAGGGTACCTTATCGCCAATAGCATCTTGAACCAAGATGGCGTCACTTGAGATGTGGAAAATGAGATTTGAATCTCTAGCTTCTGTGTCGAAGAAAGTAATGTCTTTGGCCAAGATTGATTTGAGATAATTTATACGCAATCTTGCTGTTTGTCTTTCCCCTGTTTGCATCCAACAAGCAACTCCTGCCAATAAAACCATTACCAATGTTAACATTACAAAAACATAGTAATAGATATAAAATGTGGATATATAGAAACGTACCCATCCATGCTGATACCAAATTGACCAATCCTAAGTAGACCAAGTACAGAGCATTCTGGATAACACAAATCACCAAAATCTTATGAGCTTATATGACCAAAAATCAAGAGAGTGAAAATAGCTGTTATAAGAGAAACCTGTGAAACACGGGAAGATATGGCTTTAGGATCTGTAGAAAGATTGCCAAGAGAATCTAGCATTTTTCCAAAGAACACGAAGAAGAGCGGAAGCGTAGCACCATGAATACACGCGCCTAAACCGCCTAGAAACATTAGAAACCAATCAACTTTGTCTGCTGCGCTAAACAAACCCATCAATGAAACTGACTCTTTCTTCATCTTTTTATTCTCCTCCTCCTTTGATTCTGTCTCGGTCAGAATGTTTCCATTAGAGGTTGCTTCTATGTTATCCATTTTTCACTGAAAACAGAGATCAAAGACAGAGAATTGAAGTAATGGTGAGCGTAGACTGAGCAGGGAGGGATTTAGGGTGTTGGGTTTCTTGTGTAAAAAGCGAAGATAAAGGGTTAGATGGGAATTAGAAATAGAGTCATCTCCCTTTCTTATTTAATGTAAAGTGTTAAGAGGGAACTCATATCTCACCTAAAAAGCGATCGTTCTAACTGTTTTTAACAACTCATTCTATCATAGTTAAAGCTTTCCCATAATCAAATTAATGGGGAAGCGAGGGGCTAGCATAATAGATAGGTGAACATATCAATGTGTATATATCCTTTCCTTACATAATCAGTGTGGAGCTGCTCACTTTGTATCGTTCTTGTATATTGTAACGTAACGTTTTCATGTGGCTTTTCGGGTGAAATGATAATCCCTATATACATTTGGTGGTTCTTAATAATAGTAACATAAAAAATGATCCCCGTACATACTATGACAGAATGTAAATATGTATAGTTAGATATAGTAACACACTAACATGTAAAAATTATGGTCACGGATCTAAGAATGTTTCCACTAGGTAGGTGATAGGGTACGAATTCGCAATACGCGGCTGTTTTTGATCCATTACTTTTACATTTATTGTAATATGTCAAAATATCTATTCCACATGTACTGGTTGTTAATAAAGAAATCCGCAATTTGTTTGAACAAATTTGTGAGAATAAAAATGCTATATATATATATATATATATATAGTTTTGTGATGATTGGATCGGATCATAATATATGACTCTTAAAGACGATTTGCGGTTTGATATACATTGATGAAATAAAAAGCACAAAGACGAAGATTCTGACATGCTAAAAAGGTCTTTGTTTGCTGATTTGTGATTTACATTTAGATGATCCATTTAAATGATTCATTTGAATGAATTATCTGAATGATGCACATAACAAATGAACAAACAAACATTTAAATGAGAAATTGATAAATAAGCAATGAAAATGAGATTTTACGTTTTTGACGAGAAAATGAGATTTTATTTTTTAACGGAAAACACGATTTTATGTTTTTAACGGAAAAATAAAATTTTATGTTTTTTGACGGAAAACAAAATTTTATGTTTTTTGACAGAAAAAACAAAATTTTACGCTTTTTGACAGAGAAAAAACGAAATTTTACGTTTTTGACAAAAAAACATAATTTTACGTTTTGACGGGAAAACAAAATTTATTTTTGAAGGGAAATCAAAATTATACGTTTTTAACGGAAAAACGAGATTTTACGTTTTTAACGGAAAAACAAGATTTTACGTTTTTAACGGGAAAACGAGGTTTTATGTTTTTTAACAGGAAAATTACATTTTTTTACTAGAAAACGAGATTTTACTTTTTTAACGAGAAAACAAGATTTTACATTTTTAACCGAAAAACGAGATTTTATGTTTTTAACGAGAAAACGAAAAATTTATATTTTTAATGGGAAAACGAGATTTTACGTTTTTAACGGAAAAGATTTTATGTTTTTTTGACGGAAAAACAAGATTTTTATGTTTTTAATGGAAAAATGAGATTTTATGTTTTTAACGGAAAAACGATATTTTACATTTTTGACGGGAAAACAAGATTTTACGTTTTTGACGGAAAGCGAGATTTTACGTTTTTAACGTTAAAACGAGATTTACGTTTTTAACGGGAAAACGAGATTTTATGTTTTTAATGAAAAAAGTGAGATTTTACGTTTTTTGACGGGGAAAAAAAATTTAACGTTTTTGACGGGGATATGAAAAAACAAAATTTTACGTTTTTGACGAGAAAACGAGATTTTATGTTTTTTACAGTAAAACGAGATTTGATGTCTAAACCCTAAAATCGGATAACATGAATCGCAAAAACTTTTGAATGGGAAATATAATTTTACAAACACAATTACCAAAACTTACAAACTAAACGAAGATCAAAGGTAACCGACTTTGCCTTTTGAGACAAAGTCTGTGTTTATGCTTACAACAAGGGGAAGAACATTAAAAAAAAAAAAAAAAAAAAAAAAGGAAGAACATTTGCGTCATGAGGTGATGCAAGCGTCCACTTGCATGTTGTTTAGGGTTTTATGATAAGGCATGTCGTCTAAGAAAGAAGACTAAACTGATAATTAGGAGGAACTTAAACACCGACACCGACAAATAAAAAAAAAAACTTAAACACCGACAATGTTTTTGCCTTTTTGGTTATAATAAATTAGCTAATATCAAATCAAATCCATGTTTCTTGTTAAAATTCCTAGTTCCTCGTGAATTCCATGCTAAATGCAGTACTCTATTTTTTATGCCTGAGTTAAATGCAGTACTAAAGAAACTCATATTGTCCATCACAAATCGTATCAAATATTTAGGAAACAGGTAGCTTTCACTCGCGCGCTGGTGTTGTGATGATGCATTGAGAATATTTTGTCTTGATTGATTATTTTTGTAAACCCTACTAATTAATTTCGGGGACCAATTGTCTGCAGTGGACAATGAGTTGAAGACTTTGTTCGTATTAATTTGCATGTAGTGTGGAATCCGGTGTCGGTAGTTCTATCAACCGAGTTTAGAGAGCTTTGTTAGGAGTTAAGAGAGTAATGGGTTCATCATATTTTGCAACACAATATCAAAATAAGTTAGCTATTTATCTATTTTTAGATATTTGATATTTTTTATAACTAACCTTTTAAATGTATTTTATAATAAAACCAACTAATTTCTAACATAATGAATGACTATAATATATAGCGAATTCCGTTTTAATATAGAACAGGCTTAGAGTAAAATTTCCGAAAAAATAATTACTTTTCATATATCATTTATGTTCCAAATTACTCTTTATATTTCTTACGAAATCAGAATAATCAAAGATTCAAACACAAGAATCGAGTTTAGACTCTGATATCGTGTAAGAAAATCAAGACGGGTCAAGCAATTTTTGTATTTCTATTAATTAGCCAATATAATTCGAATACAAAGTTATAACTTTTCCGACAAGTTTTTTTGTTTCAAATTAAACATAAGAGGAATCGATATAAAAACACAGAACCGTTAACATTCTAATAACAATGTGGAAATTTGTTTAACTCGATCTCGTAAAATATGAGATCTCCTAATGATATCAGATTTTTTTTTTTTGTATTCTATATATAGCTTTGACATTTTCTTAGAAATTAATATTAATATAAATATATGAATTCACGACTGATTTTCGAGAGAGAGTGTGAGCTAAGCCATGAGAAGAACCGAATACTTGATAAGTTTTGTTGATAAATGTTGAAATGGGCCAAACGGCATATCAATAATTGTGAATAAACGAACACCTTTTGTTTGCCCAACACTTGTGATTTGAGAATAACCATTTTGAGAGTCTTTTCATGATTTGCGGATTTAGCGCCCAATACACTGGTTGATTGAGAATGGACCCAACATAAAGAGTCACATGCAAATAGTTAATAATTAGTACATTAAACATAGCCCATTGCTCTGAAAATTCTATAGCTCAAGGTAATGGTATCTTGAATAACCGAAAAGCAAAGCAAGTAAAGAAGAAGAAGCTATAAGCAGGTTCTATCATCATTGCATTGTTGTAATGAAAGAAAGCGACAAAATGAAAAGCTAACATTTTTCGTTATTTTTTTTTCTTTTTTTTTTAACATTTCGTTCTTTGTTCATACGTAAACGGTAAATCACTACATCCTAAAGTTCCTAACCGCGTCGTAGCAATTACTCTCGTGTGAATGCATTTATCACTTTCCGTTGCACTTATCCCGAACACGTTGATATTTTTTTTCTTTTGTTTTATTACATTTATTTATCCTTCCGATTTAAGATCGTATAAATATAAATATTTTTTTTAGGAAATTTATTTTTATTACAAAATATATTCATTTATGAATTTATGATGCATATACATAAAACTAATAAAATAGTAGTTTGCAGAATCCAAATTAGAATCTATCATGATGAAATGAAAAAAAAAAAACCTTTTTATGGAATGTGTAATAAATTCTTCAACAGAAATTTATACAGGAAAGTCGAATTCAACAAGTTTCCAATCATATAGTTTGACGCACTGAAAGCGTGTCGAATCTGGATGTCTCCAAGCAAATCAAGAAACTCTATGATCTTAAAACTTACAGACGTTAACATTATGTTAGGAATGGCATCGATACCATGTATCAAAAGAGTATGTCACAGATATAGCTCCCGGCCCATCTAAAATCTATTGATTCAGAAAGAAAGAAGACAAAGAGAATAAAGGAGGTTGGTGCCAAATTGAAAAATAATATGAGAAAAATTGCTAAAAATATATGATAAATGCTGATTTTGATTTTTACCCATAATGGTTTTGCATGCTTTTTCTGGATGAAATGTTTTGGTTATTAGTAATATATTAGATTTCATACGATTAATTTTACATATTTACAGACTTTATAGGTCAAATAAAGCCAAGTGATATGTATCATTCCCTTTTTTGGTCATATCGTCATCCAGCAGAGTTTTTAATTGTTTTCTTTTTTGCTGCTAAAAGTATGTAAAAGGCTTCTTCATCCAGCGGATTTTTAGGATGTCAATGACGTAAACACGCTTTATTTTTCTTGTTGTTTAGACCCGAAACAAAGGTTATGAAAGATGGAGCAGTAGGAAAATCTTCCCAAGTTGCGATGAATCTCATATTTGCGCAAAGAAATTTTCGCTAAATGCGTTAATTAAATTTTCCAAAAATGAGATATTCATATTTTTTTTGTTTCAAACCATTTTCCATTGATAATATATGCATTATTTCACTCTGACGTGAATAAACACCACACCCAAACAAAATAAATTAAGGTCAAACTGTAGATATCAGCGTCGTTAATAATATGTATAGGTGTCGAACTGTCGATTTAAGCTCCCAACTACACATACCAAGTGGCATTTAATACACAACACACACATCAAAGCCATTTTTGCTTTTAAATACAAACACAATCACTAACAAAAGAAAGAAAGTAAGAAAGAAAGCAAGAAAAAGTAATATAGAAGAAAGAAAAAAAGAAGAATCTGATAATGAAGGGTCTTCATCTCCACCTCTTCCTAGTCACCATGACGGTCGTTGCATCCATCTCCGCTGCTACACCGGCAGCTCCGGCGGCCGGAGGAGTTGTGCCCGATGAATGCAGCCAAGATTTTCAAAAGGTGACTTTGTGTTTGGATTTCGCGACCGGGAAGGCACCGAATCCGTCTAAGAAGTGTTGTGATGCTGTGGAAGATATAAAAGAGAGAGATCCCAAGTGTTTGTGTTTTGTGATACAACAAGCGAAGACAGGAGGACAAGCCTTGAAGGATCTTGGTGTTCAAGAAGGCAAACTTATTCAACTTCCAACTTCTTGTCAGCTCCACAACGCTAGTATCTCGAATTGTCCAAGTACGTTTCTCGTTCATTAATTTGGCTCTTTTTCATAATATTACTTTTTTTTAGTTCATATCACGTTTTCTTATCTCGATCTGCTTTTGATAACTTTCATGTGATCAAACTTGGAATATGTGAAATAGTTCGTTATTGAGGGTACTTGAGAGAAATTGTATGTTTTAGCTAGGTTTTGAGATTATAATAGGAAAGTATAAATGCCGACAAGAAAAATAGAATGAACAATCAATTATATATAAACACTGTTGGTCCCAACTACCTATATGAGTTCAAACCAAGACACCTAGTTTAGTAGTTTGTATTAGTGCAATTGATGCGTAATTACTCATACTCAAATCGGATAGAATGTATGTTATTTATATGTATATGGTTTCACAGGAATCTAAACTCGGTAAAATGCATGTTGTTGATGTAAATGTGGTTTCAGTATTTCACCATTGCACATTTAAGGGAAGTTGTAAACTTATTACTGATATTATTAACCTCTTAATAGTGTGATGTTAATATTGAAGTCACCTTTTTAGCTATACATAAGTGGAGCATGAGTGCGTGTCAAAAACAATTTTTTTTTTTTTTTGATAAAAAGCGTATTAAAAAACTTGCTTTCATGAGTTTTGTAAGTTTTAGTTTTCCAATGTCATTGATATTTGTTTAATGAATTTCTAGTTTAATCGACTATTTAAACAGTACTTTAATTTCCTTTGTCACACACACATATATATATATATATATATATATATTTGAAAAAATTGTTTTTTAAATATATGCATACAATACTGGAGAACCAAGAACCAGAAACCAGTAACCAGTTTAGCTATAAATAATTTAATGCGACAGGTGCCTCGGGTTTCAACTATATTTACAGAGAAGCGCATTTAATTTGTAGCACATTTATAAATATAACCTACTTTTTCATACAGCCAATTGTTTTTGTTTATTTTTCAAAATACAGCCAATTTATAGTTAGTAACGATGATAATGCCGTGTTATATTAGGATATAAAATAGCTAAATTTTCGTATTGAATTTTCGAGAATATAATAATTAATGTTAATGTTAATATATCATCTTAATGTTAAGTGACGCTAAGTTAAAATGTGCATGAATAAACAGAACTTCTCGGGATTTCGCCGAGCTCGCCAGACGCAGCCGTATTCAACAGCAATGCCACGTCAGCAACAACAACACCGGCGGCGCCGGCAGGAAAGTCTCCGGCAAGTCCAGCGACGTCTACTGACAAAGGAGGATCAGCTTCCATAAGAGATGGTCACGCCTTCTTGGCTCTAGCCGTCGCTTTGATGGCCGTCTCCTTCGTCTCAACCTTGCCTAGGATGGGTTTGGCATTGGCCTAGTCCTAGTCGGTAAGGCACGTGAGGCTTTGTTAAGGCACGTGACATTAGGGTTGTAATCTTTCTTCAATATGTGGTGCTTTTGTTTTAAAATTTCAAGACTTTTATTATCTTTTCAAGTGTGTTTCTTGGTTCGGACAATTGTTGTAATGAGTGAACTTTCCCACTTTAATCGGATATTTTCCCGCACATAACCAAATTTCTCCTGCGTAAGAATCATCGTTAAGTTCTATTAATTTGAGCATTCACAAGCCAAGACTGTGTAGACAACGATTTTTAGAACCTTGGATTTATCTTACATACTGTGTTCCTAAGTCCTGGTCACTGGTCAGTACTAGTACAAGATCACGAGTATTAAACCATAAACAAAGCCCCATCCAATCCAAATCCCAAAAGAGAAGAGAGGTTCTTTAACTTAGTTGGGGTTGGTGTTGCAAGGCCAAAGCCTCTGCGAAACTTCTGGACATTTCCCTTACATAGTCGTCATGGAGAGATGGATGTGTTGGAACAGAGGTTGGAGAGACTCTGAGATTTTCAAGAACAGCACGTTGTCTGGCTTTTCTATCTTGAATCGCTCTCTGTCGCTCTTCGTAGAAGCTAAAATCATCGAGGATCGAAGAACGCATCTCACAGCTCTTGAATATATTTAACATCTCTATACCTTGTTCAACTTCCACCTGCAGCAGGTATAAAACGCAATACTTCACATTTTCTACTTAGAATGTCTGCCATATGTGCTGAAAAGTGAACTTTTAAGTTGAAAACTATGTTCATGGTCAGATCTCTGATATGTTTCCTCGAATATCCACACATTTTACTACCTTGGATATTGTCAAAGTACATGACAATTTATCTGGAAAGTAATCAAAGCACTCTTTGATTTCAAAGAAGACATGAACCACAAAGACTGGGGATATGACTGTCCTAGTATGTAATACGAGTAAATAAAATGGAATCTCCTGGTGCAGTGATAGCAAAGTTTCATTATAAAAGCAATTTCGAGAATGAAAATACGACTCACGATGCTCAAATCTATATGCATGAAATAGACCCTCAAGAAAAGAATGTACAAGACAAGAAGAGCTTAGCTTACCTCTTGGGTGTCTCTACTGTTAGTGACAGGCTTATTGTCATTGTTTTCAATTATGATGTGACGAAAGAGACTGTTGGGAACATCTTTGACAATAAGCCATTTGACGGGGAAGTGTCCTGACCATCTATCCTGTTGCCAGTACTCTACACTTGTGTTGAAATCAACCGGTCCAACCATCTCGGCCACTCCACAAAACTGGGCACTGGCATTCACCTGAAACTATATATTTTTAGCCCTTCTTCTATTCGGAGTTTAAGATCAAAAACTCAGTGGACTGAATTATAAGATAATCTCAGTGTCCTGAGATGGATTGCTGTAGTGCCAGTCAATCTAGGAAGACAAAGGCCTGACACTGCAATTTCATGGATGAATAATCAAGCAAGTGTAATATCTTCCACGGAAATTCTCAAAGTCACAATGCACAGAGCTCAAGCAACTTTGAATTTGTAAAGAAGAAAAATAGGCAATTTACCGAAAACAAAAGAAAGACCGGGCATGCCACTTCTTTCTTCTTTGCTTCACGATAGGCAGCATCCAACTTTTTGTTTCCATTTTTAGTGCTTGCCCAAACACAATACTTTATGCTCTTGTGAACATTATCCTCGCTATATGACTTAATAACGAAGAACTTTGCGTCCCTAAACTGAGAGAGCAGATCATGTTGACAAAAACGATCAAGGCGATCAGAAGTGATCATTTTCTTTTTACCGTTTAGCCTGGAAGCCCTAGGCCCTCTGTTTCTCTCAGTAAGCATATCAATCATGGCAGGGCAATGGCAGAAGTCTCTGTAGCTTCCACTTCTTGCTTCATCAAGTGGTGGCAAGTTATAATCAAGCTCCCAAGTTGGGCTAGAAGAAGAAGAAGCAGAGAAAGAGCCTCTTTTGCATTGATTATAAGCTTTCTCTCTGTAATTGAAGCTTGCAGCAGATTCAAAAGTATCATGCAAAACACGATGTGGTGGACCCTGCGTAGATATCATCAATTAGATCTACATCGAAGTTTGCTAAGCTTTGTCCATTAAAAGAGGTCAGACATACAGAAACTAACCATATCGAAATCATTTGCAGATAAGTCCGCTGAACCAGGGTGCTTCATACATCTTCGAGCAGATGACATTGGAAGAAACATTTTTTCTCCACTGAAGAAGTTGAGATTCGGACCTCTAGGTTCTTCAAATGTATTGTTACTTACACCAAAATTTCCCGCAGAGCGCAACATATAATCAGTCTCACTACTGTTTCTTCCATTCGCATGCCTATCAAAATGTCTAGAGTTTGCCTGAGACATGTAAAACTCTGGAGAAACATGAATATGTTCCGGCACTGGATACTGTTGATTTAATGAGTCAAAAGGACCAAACTGTCTTGAATCATCAGCATAGAGGTCACCATAATGCTGTGGCAATGACTGATTTCTGGTAGAATAAGATGGCCTCTTAAAATCTGATGGTACACCACTACCATGGTAAAACATGTCGTATCTCATGTCCTATATCAATTGAAGAAGAAATAGGAAAATGAACACATGAAGAATATTAGAAATCAAAAGCAAGTAGTGTAAAAGGCGTAGGTTAAGATTATTTACGCACAGGAGAAACATCTTCAAAGCTTAGCATGTCCGTATGTGAATGGTAGGACCTTGGAGTATCAGCTGCATTTTCATAGCCTGAGAGAAACGACGGCATTAATGAGCAACAAGGAAATATCCAAAAAGGTAGTTCAATAAAAGCTAAAAGAAGCAATGAACTCTACAGTTATGGTCACAAGACAAACATGGCGAAGCAGAAATAAACAGATGGTAAAGAATTTTCATGGACATGTGGCACTGTTTCCCCTAATGCACCTAGAAGGATTGTAAAACTAAAACAAACATAATAATTTGGACTAGCTGGCATAAGTAGGTGGACTTCAGTGTAAGAAAAAAAAAACATTTCTCTGGTGAAACAGCATGGTCTAAGAACATGAGAAAGCAATAATAGCTTCTGAGAATATGCTAAGACAAAGAGAGAAAACACAAAATGAAGTTCACAACAATCCGAAGATTAGTTCTAGCCACTAAATTATAGTGAAATGTTTAGAGAACCGATAAAAAGTATCATAGGGAGCTAACCTCCAATGTGAAATGACTCTGAGTTAAAACCGCAGGAACTTGCAGAAAAAGCATTACCATAGAAAGGGCGAAACCTATTGGTGTCCTGTAAAATCTTCACACAGTGTCACATTTGGCGCTAGCTAACACTATAAGACAAGCAATGCCATTAAATCAGTTACCTGATCTTGGAGAACACTCTTGTCAGTTGTTAGCCTCTCTACCATATCCTTCTCCAGCATGTTTAAGGCCTTAACTGAACCTAAATATCCAAATAGAACCGTCAGAAAAAAAAAAAATCAAAGATAAAAAAAAATAGAGCAGATAGACACATCCACCATCAAGTAAAAGCTATACATCAAAGAATGATTGAACTTAAAATGAAGAAAAATATGATGATAAAAAATCAGCATTGATTAATGAATACTCAGACTCAAACCACAAAAAGGACAAGGCTTTACTAATTTCAACCACAAGTGTTTATTCAAAAGGCCAAAACTCATCAACAAAAATCGTTAAATCCTAGTTAGAGTGACGAAACCCATTTCAACCCACACGAGAAAGATTGAAAAAAATATCAAAGAATTTCAACATTTTTTATCTTTAAGAGAATCCACGAGGGTTAGTACCAGTGGAAGAGAAAAAGTCGGTGCTTGGGTAAGAAGCGGCCATAGAAAAGCAGTAGGGAGCGGAGCAATCGGAGGCAAAACGAAGAGAGACGATGTCGAAAAGTAAGAGACAAGTGAGAGTCTGTTACGAAAATGGAGAGAAAATAAAAATTCAAGGAGAAGTGTTTGGAATTGTCAAATTTTGACGATTTTGTGAGAGTTTGGGAGTGTTTGGGTGCATGGAGACTCCTAAACAAAATAATAAATTAAAAATATTAATGAATTAATTAATTTAAGCCTGGTTCTTTGATTTGGTTGGTGTGAGTGTGACTTAGTAGTATTGAATGGTTTAAACTTTTAAGTTTTAACCGTAGCGAATACGAGTGTGTGTACGCGGAAGATCTTGTACATATGATGATATACGAGTATAATTAGACCCATGGATTAGAGATTTGTCTTCTTTTACTGCAGTAAGTTGCACTACTTTAAAGATTCATTCTCCATTCTTGATTCTCCAAACGTTATAACTAAAACGAATTTTGTAGCACCGCATGTAATTTTATAGCTCAAAAACGGATCACTTGTGCAAATTCTTAAGTTTAAAATTGTTGGTTCTTTATTCACCTAGTACAGTTTGCACTTGCGGATAACTTAGTCAAGAAGGCAAGAAGACGCCAAAATTCTTGCTAGATAGTTGTTCGATTCCTGACCAGAATCCGGACCAAATGAGCTACTCATTCCTTCATTACTCGTTCTTTGGTCAGCGATGTAGTCCAATTTCTGACTTGAGCATGGAGTTTCAGAATAGCCAAATATTATATCGTCTAAATCCATTTTGACCATATTGTGGACCGTGGTGCATGTTTTTTTGTTTGCGTGTAAATTTCATTGTATATTATTAGTCCAAAAAAGTTTCCACTACATATGATTCATGTCTACTAAAATTTCTGAAAAATTATTGTATGTTTGATCATTTTTTTGATAATATACTCAATCTTTAGAATTTTTGATTTGATACATAGACATTAGACAATACTATCAAATCATATAAGCACCATATGACAAAGTTCAATAAACCGAGAGTCAAATTTCAATAATGTTTTTAATTCATGAACATTTTCGTTTTAAAATTTATATATTTTAACCAGTTTAGAAATATATGAAAAAGAATAATAATTGAACGGTTTGTGTTACTACCTAATTTCTGGTATGATTTAGATTTGTGCTTTCATTGGCAATAATTTTGTGGAATACATAACTGTAGAATAATATAAACAATCTTGTGGAATGAAATAAACTGATTTAAAACTTACTTTTCTACTTAGTAGTTTTTTTTTTGTATTTTTGTTAAACAAAAAGGTAAACTGTATTTTCGTGTTTTATTTTGTAGTTTGTAAAATTTAGTTGATTGGGGAGTCGCGTTTAAACTCGAGTTATCAATCAAAGCAAAGTTGTACCATTCATAATTGGATTGAAAAAGAAGAATATGAAGTTGACAAGGAAAAAAATAAAACAGAAAAAGAAAAAAGCAGCGTCGTTGCAACGCAAAGTTTTCACTTTCACAGGTGAAGGCGACTCTCTCAAATCTGAATAAATACAACACAAAAACCCTTTTTCCCGGCACCCAAATTTCCAATCACTCGCTTCATCGTCTCTCTCACTCTCTCTCTCCAATGGCGCAGATGGATCCCGACGCGGTGGCGAAGGCCTTCGTCGAGCATTACTATTCGACCTTCGACACTAACCGTGTCGGTCTCGCCGGTCTCTACCAGGAAGCTTCCATGCTCACCTTCGAAGGTCAGAAGATCCAAGGAGTCCAGAGCATCGTCACCAAGCTCACTTCTCTCCCTTTCCAGCAGTGCAAGCATCACATCTCCACTGTCGATTGTCAGCCTTCTGGTCCCGCCTCCGGTATGCTCGTTTTCGTCTCCGGCAACCTCCAGCTCGCCGGCGAAGAGCACAACCTCAAGTTTAGCCAGGTCTCCCTCTCTCTTTCTTACTCTGAATTTGCTTCTATTCTGAATTTGTTTCCTTGATTTCTTGTTCATTTCCGATTGATCTATTCCGGTTGATTTGTCTGTGATTTTGATGAATAGATCGTTAGGGTTTGACTGGGTGATAGATCTGTAAATCTGGCATGTGATGTAGAATTGCAAATTGCAAATTCGTTCAGGGCGTTTTTAGTCTAGCCGATTCAGCTTTAGGAATCGCGTTTTCATGGATGACAAGTTTTACATTAGCCTTAGTTTGGTCTCGAATACTCAGTAAACACGTTTTGCTCTGGATTATATTGAAAGAGAAGTGTTCACTCACCAAAATTAGTTGGATTTCTTGACCCTGAAACGAGTTTAATTGTTTTCCTAGTTGATTTTGTGTGAGGAGAGTATCATCGCCTTGTTTCAGTCATTTAAGTGATTGTCTAGTTTCTTTGGTTCAAGACTTTAGCCGATTTGCCAATGTTATGCATCCTAACATTCTGATACACATCTGAGACTTTTGTTTGGTTTTGGTATCTTTGATCTGGTCTTGTTTGTTTTAGTATCCGTGATCTTGTTTCTAACACAGCTACAAACGAATTTTCGTTGTGTGCTCCAGATGTTTCACTTGATGCCGACTCCACAAGGAAGCTATTACGTGTTCAACGATATATTCAGGTTGAACTATGCCTGAACAGACAATCAGATTGTTAGCATACATCTTCAATGTTGCACTACTATACTATTTGATCAATCCTTCTTATCATTTCTCTCTTATCTTTCTTTTCATTGTTCTTCGATCCTAGATGATTTATCTCGACAACAGAGGAAAAACTGTCTCTCTTGTATTTGGTTTGAATGGTTTCCAATGTCACTTTTGTTCTCTATTTTCTTAGTTGGGAATGCGCTTTTCTTCCGAATATTTCGTTTATCCCTTTATTGTTTGTGTGATTTTGCTGTAAAGAGAAACTCTTTTGCCTCTCGGAGAATTGATTGTTCACATCTTCAGGTTAACAACTTGTGAAAAAAACAAAAACAAAAACAAAAGGTCCAAGCTTGGCTTATCAAATAGGAGTAGCTTTGTGTTTTTGTCTTATACAAAGGCTTTAATGTAAGGCGGCTAGCAAGAATTCAGTTACCAGTTCTGTTTTGAGAAAACCAGATGTTCTTATTGTAGATGAGGTGCGAAATTTGACAAACTAAAAGCGAGTAGATACATTCCTAGCATATGATATGACTCTATCTTGCTAAACTATTCGGTTTAATTTAGTTAGCTTACACTAGTTTCGGTTTTCTTTGACATTTTAATTCGGTTTAAATTCGATTCGGTTTAAATTCGATTCGGTTTAGTTCTCTCCGAGTGTGGTGAACTGTGAAGGAAATAAAATCTCGTGAAAGTTGACGGCACACGCAACCAATACACAAAGCGCCAAAAAAGAAAAGGAAAAATATTTGTCGCAATCTCTTACTATAATGTAGCTTGCACGCGATGACCTCAACGAGGTCTTTGTTTTGATCACTTTCTTTATTCCATTTTCTATATCGAAAACGATTTCACTGTTCTCCCCCATCTCAATATCCAGGAGACAAAAAAAAATGGATTCTTTGACATCTTCTTCGATGAAATCCATGTTGATTCAAGCTCGAGGCTCGCTAAACTCGCGTTTGTCGGAATTTGAGCCACTGGTTTTGCTCGTAGCCCCGCTTCTAACTCTTTTTCTCGCTCAGTTTATTGGATCTGTCTTCGGCGTCGTCCACGATAAAGGCCTCAAAGCGTGTCTTCTGGGTCTGATCATGGGCTTCCTCAAGTGAGAATCTCCAAATCCCATATCTTTTTTTACTTCGATCCCAATCTTGTTTTGATGTGCGAGACTAACGATTCTGTGGAAAATGAAACAGAATGATTCCTGGAGTTCAAAAGTACATAGATGCTGAGAAACAAAAGGTGGGTTGTGTTTGAATCTGCAGATTGTTCGTGTAATGGCCTTTTTTTTTCCTTCTTCTTGTGCTATTTAGGAGGAAACAATTCAGAACAAGAAATGTTAATGCTTTCCTCTCCCCTTTTATATTTTTTAGAGTTTTTTTTGTTTTTAGCTCCTTTTTTTTCCTGTTGTAAATGTCTGCATCAGTAGTAGTAGTGATAAGAATTTTGATTATTATCTGTCAGAATAATAATGTTCAAAAAAAAGAAGCAGCAGAATGTCTTCGACCCATGGTTATTTATAGCATTGAGACATGTGTTGCTGAAGTTACGATGTCACTATTACTTGGTATTTGAGACTGTACCAAGAATAATATTACAAAACAATTTACAGTGGAACCGTACTAGCTTATTTTTAAGGGTATATTTGCTTCTTGGCTTAGTTGCGGGTTAGAGACTATACATCTCACTGTGTCTTTGTTTGTATGAGAAACTAGCATCGGTGCTAATTAGTTGGTGTTTATTTCTTCTAATTCACAGGTAGTTGATCAATTACAATCTGGTAGCAGCTCTAAGAAAAAGAATAGGGCTGAAGAATTGCCCGTAAAAGGTCTAGGAGTTGAAGTTCTAGAGAAAATGGAGACAGAAAAGAGGAATGATGCTATTTGGCAAGGAAAATGCTCTGGCACTGTGTATGTTTGTGGTAGTTGATGCTTTTTTTATATGTCCTCCAAATTTTTCTTTGTGGTTTCGGTTGAGATTTGTTTTTAACTTCTACTACCATTCTAACAGATACATAGGTGGAAGCGAGTCTGAGGGACATTTTGCATTGATAAATCAAGCATGTTCAATGTAAGTTACAGTGAGATTTTAGCTCCGGTTTTTGTGATCTATGACTTCTGCTTTTCTGTTATTGTTGGTCGTAAAAGTGACAATTCCTTGTTTATGTATAATTTATAATCCATGGATGATGCTTTTTCCAGGTTTGCACATACCAATCCGTTGCATATAGATGTATTCCAGAGTGTGGTCCGGTTTGAGTCAGAAGTCGTCGCAATGACTGCTGCATTACTCGGGAGTAGAGAAACGGCTTCAGGAGGACAAATATGTGGAAACATGACGTCTGGAGGAACAGAAAGCATAGTGTTGGCTGTGAAGTCATCTCGTGACTATATGAAGTACAAGAAGGGAATCACACGGCCAGAAATGTAAGTTTCTTCACTCATTTGACATTGATCAATTATGTGATGTACAATTAGTTGATGGAACAATATTGCACAATCTAAGTGTAGGATTATTCCTGAATCGGGTCATTCGGCTTATGATAAGGCAGCCCAGTATTTTAACATCAAGTTGTGGCGAGTTCCAGTAGACAAAGAATTCCGAGCTGATGTCAAGGCAATAAGGCGGCATATTAACAGAAACACCATCATGGTAATGTTTTGAGGAGCCACTTATTATATGTTTAGATAATTTCACTTTCCAGGTTCCATGGTTTGATATTCTTGGTCTGTTGTACATATCCAGTCCTTGCCTATTTGTAATTCCATGGTTGCAGCTTTAAGGTTAAGGCGTGCGCTTTCTTTGTTTTCATGATCTTGAAACAATATTGTTTCAGATTGTTGGATCAGCACCAGGATTCCCTCATGGCATCATTGATCCTATTGAGGTAAACTGGATTTTTCCGTCTCCTGAAATTTTAAGGACATATATGTTCTTCTATATGCTTTTAATGTCTAGGAAAAATTCCTACTTTATTTTTGTTTCATTACAGGAGCTTGGCCAACTGGCTCTTAGCTATGGAATATGCTTGCATGTTGACCTTTGCCTTGGTGGTTTTGTGTTACCTTTCGCTCGTAAACTTGGGTATGTGTAACTGTTTCTTTTTCCTAACAACAAAGGCCTGCCTTTTTCCTACAAAAAGAGATGCAGATAGTATCTTTTTTTTTTTTTACAGGTTGACTTAGAAGCTATGTTAATAACTTAAAGAAATGATAAGTTAATTGTATGTGTCTGTCTGTTTTAGTGCCACTTCTCCTAGTTACGCATTGGAGGTTTTGCATTTCATGGTCCTACTTAGATTAACAAGATAATAAAGAGTGATTTCATTTGTCGATTTTTTCCTCGCTGTTCCCAGGTACCAGATCCCAGCTTTTGATTTTTTCTGTACAAGGAGTTACTTCAATTTCAGTGGACGTGCAAAAAATATGGTTTGGCTCCTAAAGGGAACTAGTACAGTTCTCTACAAGAAATCATGAGATCAGAAAGGTAGATACTTGTATTTTCCCCATTTTTTATG